AACTTTTAAAAAGACAGAATTAGAGGAATATTAAAAGCGAAGTTGCACGCGACGTGAGGCAGACCCGTGAGTCAGATTTTCATGTGGAGACAGAGTGGCAGTCACGCACGTGTCACGTGTCTTTCATTTAATTTTTTAAAAAATTTCCAACTTTTTAACTGTTTTTTTCTCACCTATAAGTGATAGTACTACTACTAATTATTTTAAGAAACTCGTTGTTGCACGTATAAATTAAAAAAAAGTATTGTAATTGCATTATACACGACTGCTAAATTGATTTATGGACAAAAGTATAATAAAAATTCGTTAAAATAATAATCCTAAAAATAAGGAAGAGAGAGAGAGAGAGTCTCTTGGAGAAAACGAAGAGACGTCGGTACGAGACTAAAAAGGGTCCACGTCAGACGGAGCTGTAAAAGCCAGATGCGAAGACAAGAAGGTTTTGTGAGATTCTGACTTTTGCTAACGTGCACACTTTTAAACTTTTTGTCTCGTTAAAATTAAAATAGTAATTAAACTTGTTGCATTACAATTTTTAATACGTATAAAAACTAAGGGCAAAGCCGCAAAGGTATGATTCAAATCTGAAACGTTTCGTTTCTCATTATCACCTTTGATACGTAGCTTTAATGTGTCTAAAACGTGAGAGCATTATTCATGCGAAAGATTGACCTTTATTTTACTAAAGAGTCGTCTTTTGACGTACTTTTCTTTTGTCAATGAATATAGTCATCTAAGTCATACACCAAATAGTAAAACATGAAAAACGCACTATTATGAGAGACTTTTTTTTCAGGAGATGACCTATTTTAAAAAAAAAATTGGTTGAAAATGTAACGATTTTTTTTTCTGTCGAGAATGTCCGTATGTGATGGCAATACTTCATGTAGCTAACGAGACATTTTTGAAATCTGTATGTGTAACTACAGGATGACGACGTCTCTTTCGTGTAGTTGACAAATATTCTCCCTAAAAATTATGCTTGTTTGATACAAAACTATCGAAGAACTTATCGAAGATCTTATCGAAGAACTTCATTTTTTTTATCGAAAAAAAAAACTTGATTTTTTGGTCGTAAAAGTATAATTTCAACCATTATTTCAAAAGAGCGTTTTATCAGCTCTTTGAAGTTTGAACTAACCCCGACGTTGCCACGTTGCTAGCGTTCATAGAACTATATGTTGTACACTTGCACATTCCTAAAACAATTATGAACAAAACCAATACTAAAATTAAACCAATTGGGCTAAATCATGAGTGGTGTAAAAAAATGTATAGAATCATAATTATAGATACACTTTCTACTTTACAGGGTTTGATTTTCACCAAATTTCCATTTGCACGTAACTCGCGACTCTAGTTTAGGCCACTGAATGTCCATTTTGTTGCCCTCCTTAGAGTTCTGTTCGATTTATCGTGGCATGTAATTATATATATTTTCTTATGCAATTGGGAACCAAGCAAAAATTTAAATATTTTGCTCTCAAAAAAAAAAAAAAAAAAAAAAAAAAAAAATATTTTGCTCTCTTCTCACGTCGCTGCAAGGTAAAATAAAACCTTAATTTATACGGCGGGCTTTACCAACGGAATATCTGTAACCTTTGTGTTGTCATTTGCTTTCAGCCACGTCAGTGTTCGTTTACAACGTAACAGTTTTTTTTTTTTTTTGGTTTTAATGTGAAGATACAACGTAACAGTTGCGGCGAGCGTCAGAGACTTATTAGTTCCATCATACGCGCGTAGGTTGCGTCTGAGTCACGAAAACCTAATTTCCGGCGAAGTTTGTATTATGTATCACACAATGCAAATATATAACTTGTAGAATGGCTCAACAAAGTTCGTATAGCTGCACTTGTACGTATACGTAGCTTAATTAGGATGAGACGACCGAGGGAAGAAAAAAAAAAGTCGTTTTAATAGTAAACTCCGATCATGAGCCTCATCAATACATTAACACTTCCTTAATCTTAAGTTTGGTTATTATTGCACCAACTAACACACATGGATCATATGATGTTAACACACACGAATCACATGATGTTAATGTTTCCGCCACTACAAGCGAATAAAGAATCACATGTTTTATCCAAAATAGTTAAGATTTATTTGCAATCTTTCCTTAAATTATATTATGTATGGATCTCCTAGTTTTACTTAACCTATTATGTCCACTTTGCCATAATAGGCTTTAATAATTAGCACATATTATTATTGAAAAATCAATACTATTAATATTGTAAAACTGCACACTAAAATTTATAAATCATTTTGTAATAAATACAAGTGATTTACGTTATCTGAAACCAAATATACATAGAGAAATGCATTGAGACAAAAAGAGTATATGAAAAGTAGATTGGAACGACAAGCTAATGACTGCTAAAAAATTGAAGTATATATAAACAAAAACGTAACAATCATAAAAGATTTGGATAAATCTCCAAAGAGATGGGCAACTTGGCTCGATCTTTTCACCAAAATCTACCAAAAATGGTCCACGTACCTATCAGCCTCACCCACAAGCCACTGTATACATCTTTAAACACGATTCAACTTTGTTTTAATCTATATTTGTATGTATAGTAGGCTAATTAATAATTACGATTACACGAATTAACACGAATACACGATATTATCAATACAAATAATAATATATAGTTTGGCGGAGGAGTGGTCCCGTCGGGGGCAGAGAGTGGTCTCTTGCTGCATACAAAGATTTGAGTTCGACAACACCCCAACCATATATTCTTTCGTACCTATCACTCTCTTCACATCTATCTTTTCTTCTATTTTCCCCAAACTATTATTTCTTTTTATAGTATTTTTTACTGAAAACCATAACTATTTTTGTTCTTCTTGTTCTCCTGCTAAAATATAGAAAAGTGTACTATAGTTATTGGCAAAAACAGTTGTGCGTTTTCTTCTTGTACAGTTGTACTGTAGAAGTTTTTCAAACACCATGTTGTAGCAAATTTGGGATCTAGTTGTGCTGGTTCTTAGACCAAGTCCAGCAAGGGTTTTTAGTGGGTTTCTATGTTGGGTTTCTAAGATAAAATGGGCCCAGATGAAAGAAAAACAGAACAATCCATTTAGGATCGTTCCTAAAATTGGGATTTTCGCGACCCAATAGAAACCCATACGTGGCTTCAGTTTATTGGATAAACTTTTTGACTAAAAAAAAAAAAAAAAAAAACACGCGTTTTAATTTTTTTCTTCTTCTCTCTCGTTTCTTCGTGTTCGCCGACGGAGACTCCAAAGGCAATTGCTTCCCAAACGTCGATCTAGTGATTTGTTCATGAAATCATGACAGATTCAACCACGGGATGATGATCGAGCTGGAGTTTGTTCCCCAAATCGATTCTTCGAACCAAATCGAAACCCTCATCATGGTTCGTATCTCTTCTTCTTCGATTTGATTTTATGAGCTTTGAAATTGAATTTTGAAAGAGATTATGATCTGATTGCATTGGTATGTATATTGAATTACGAATTCTGGAAATTTTTAGTTCGTGTACTAAGCTTGAGCTGCATATGTTGTTATTAGCTTGTTCTTAGTTTTCTATATGTTTGCTTGATTCTCAGTGAAGTCTTATTGTTGTTTCTATATTAACATAGAAATTTCAGATTTTTATGTGTTTGTTCTGTAGCTTTGTTTGTACCTATATCCTTTAAAGAAAAACTTACGGATTCAAGTATATGTTTTCTTGTGGTAGATAGAGGAGCATTATGTGGCTCAAGGTTTAAGTATTGTTGGATACTTTCATGCAAACGAGAGGTTTGATGATGTTGAGCTCTGTGGTGTGGCTAAAAACATTGGTGTGGCTAAGTTTTATGTTTAAGTGTATGACTATGTTAATCAATGAGTTGTTTCAGTTTATGAGTTTGAGTTGTTTCAGTTTCAGTTTCATGTTGTTTTCAGTTTCAGTTTGAGTTGTTTCACTTTGAGTTTCATGTTTGAGTTCATGTTGTTTCAGTTTCACTTTCAGTTTCATGTTTGAGTTCATGTTGTTTCAGTTTCACTTTCAGTTTCATGTTTGAGTTCATGTTTAAGTCTTATGTTTCATGTTTATGTTTGAGTTCATGTTTTAGAAACCCACTTAAGGATTCCACCAATGGACCATAAAATTTTCAAAAACTCTACAAAATCTCTAAACTACAAAACTATCAAAATTTATTAATAAAAAATACATAGAAACCTTACTTAGAAACTAATCGCTGTGGTTGCTCTTAGTGATTATTTGGAGTTTCTAATACCAAAATCAACTACAGAATATAGTTACAGTAACATTATTGTAGTGGTTAACATATCGGTAGAAAATGATCTATATACTGGAGAATGCGTACTAACATTTTTAGTATGCTAAATTCTACACTCGAGTACGTTTCATTTTAAAGAAGACCAAAAAAAAACGAATAGTAATATTTTAGTATGCAATTATTGTAAACTGCGTACTAACATGTATTTTATTGATCCAAAATTGTCTGAAATTAGTTTAGAATATATAAGAAAATTATGTGAATGATAAAAAAACCAGATTGATTCAACTTTAATCCGGTCCGGAGCATACTGACTAATCATTCAAGGACATAATGTTGTTATAATTAAACTGACACTTAATTTACATACAATCTTGAAAACTCTTTACTTAAGTAACATTGATACCAAAAAAAAATCTTGAAAAGTCTAAATCCAACTTAAAAAAAAAAAATTGGTGGAGTTGTGGACTGAATTATGGTGTCAAGTATTTCACACTTTCACTTTATTTCAAACACTTATTTTATGTGACTACTTCTTTTCTTAAACTTGAAACCTTTAGATTTAAATTGTTGAAACTTGAAACACAACAACTTGAAATAATCCATATTTTCAAATTATCCATTGGCCAATAGGAAATTAGAAATGGTGCGACCAATAGACTCTTAAAAGTCAAACACCTCTGCGTGACCCAGAAGTTTTCTTCCGCGTTTGCCGTAACGTTGCCTTTAATTTCGTCAGTAACGCAAAATAACAGATCGGAAAAAAAAATCATTACACCGAGAAAAAAAAAATGGAAGATCTATGGAAGAGAGCGAAATCGTTTGCAGAAGAAGCAGCGAAGAAATCACAAACCATAACACTACAATCATCTTCAACAACCTTCGTCAATCTCGTCTCCGAAACCGCTAAAAAATCCAAAGAGTTTGCTCTCGAAGCTTCTAAGAAAGCCGATTCTCTCAATGTCTCCGAATTTGTCGCTGAGACGGCGAAGAAATCTAAGGAATTCGCCGCCGAGGTTTCGACGAAAGCGGATCAGCTTAAAGTCGTTGCGTTGAAACAAGCTGATCAGATCCAGAATATTAAATCGATTGCCGACATTATACCTGGAGGATTAGGATCAGGATCTAGTGGTGGTGGTTCTGTGATCTCTGAATCTGAGCTTGTTAGCTTTGGTATTACTGATGATTTGAGAGAGTTTGTTAAAGGTTTGACATCTGCTACGTTTCAGGCTTTTCCTGTACAAGGTATGGTTGTTTGTTGTTGTTGCGTTATCTTGTGTTTTTTTGGGTGATTCTTTGTTTTGGAATTGAGGATTTGCAATGTGTTATGATGAATGTGGATTAGATGAATCGTCGGAAGTTTCGGATTTGGAAACTAGTGCGTCGAATGTTCGGAAGGATCTTTCTGAGTGGCAGGAGAGACATGCCACTCTTGTTCTTGGTTCGGTCAAGGTAATACTTTAATTTGAGAGTTGAGAATAGTATTAGTTTGATCTTGCATACTGGTTAAGTTATAGATTCATCTCTTTTGTGCTACATTGTTTGATGTTTGCATTTTGTGTATTTTGCAGCAAATTTCGAAGTTGAGATATGAATTATGCCCGCGAGTGATGAAAGAAAGGAGGTTCTGGAGGATATACTTTACCTTAGTGAGCACTCATGTTGCACCGTAAGGCTCTACCATCTCTTCTCAAAGTCTGAAAATGTTATTGACACTTAAGTAGACGAAAGACCTAGATTGAGAATTGCATTAAGCGTATTGGAGCTGGTAAAGATAGCTTAAGACCTGTATATTCCTACGATTAGGAAGTCTCATAGCTTAATCACTACAGCTTAAGACATGTGATTAGATATTTAGATGCATATGGGAGATGTGATTGTGCCTTAGGAGCACGGATATGATCCAGAGACAGTCTTAGTGAATTCTCTAGTTGCTGCAAATCATCTATGCTGCATCTAGCTCGGTCCAGTAGGTATCTTGGAAAACCATGTAACTCACAAATTGGAACAGCAAAACCAAAAGGAACATTTAAATGAAAGTACATAGAGGAAGATCTTGGCCCTTACTCGTGCGTGTATTTTTGAGAAGTATTAGTGAATTTAGCTGCATGGATTAAGCGGAAAATATTTGTTTTGGCTCAGATATGAGAGAAAGTACATGGAGGAACTTAGGAACAAAGCAGAGAATAAAGATGAAGAAGCTAAGAAGAGTCCAGGGGTTGGAGGGACAGAATCAGCTGAAAAGAACGTGACAATGAACAGAACATCTACTGCATCATCTGAGCAAGATCTCGATACATTCCTTCTGGGAGATCTAGAAGACAGTGACGAAGCTCCTGGTGAGAGACCTTGACTTGTTGTAGCTTCCCAAGTTTTAGCTGTGTCTTAAAACCTGATTTTTTTTGTGTAATTGTAAAACCTTGCAGATGATGGTGATGGTGATGATGATGGAAGCCTGGGTGATGATGACTTTGACAAGATTGGCAACTCTGTAAGTTAACCATCTTGGTTTAATATAAATCTGCCTTCTCTCTGGTCTTTGAAAGATACAACAAGAGAACATCTTGGTTTAATCTAAATCTGCCTTTCACGTATTTGCAGGATGTTGAAGAAGAGAAAGAAACAAATGCAGCAAAAAATTAGAGATATATGAAGTTTTGTTACACCCAATTGTGGGGAAGTAAATGGGGATGGTAGATGATCTGTTTCATTATCAGTGTATAGCTTTTGCTTTAAGCGACAATGCAAAAGAAGACACATTTTATTCATTCGATTCGCAAATTATTAAAAAAAAACGAGACTTTATTTTTGTTGTAGTAAAAAGAAAGCTTGCAACTTTGAATACAAAATTGGGAAAAATGTCAGAAAATGCGCGAACTTTCAAATTTGAGACAAACAAAACATGAACTTTCGAAATGTCATTTAAATCATAAAGTTTAGTTTGACTTTTGATTAAATGGTTAAGTTTTCGTTGACCTAACCATTTCAGACATGTTGTTAATTTTCCGTTATCGAAACGATGACGGGGTTAACTTTCCGTTAGAAATCTCTGTTGAATCGAAACGATGGAAAGTTCGATTCTTCACAGACGCAATTGATTCGTTTTATTTTCCAATGAAATGACGTCGTTTTGCTGTTTTTAAACCGACGTCGTTTCGATTCAACGGAGATTTCTAACGGAAAGTTAACCCCGTCAACGTCTCATTAACGGAAATTTAACGACATGCCCGAAATAGCCAAGTCAACGAAAATTTAACCATTTTATAAAAAGTCAAAATAAACTTTATGATTTAAATGGCATTTCGAAAGTTCATGATTTTTTGGTCCCAAATTTGAAAGTTCGCGCATTTTTTGACATTTTTCCCATACAAAATTATCCAAAAAATCGAAACTTTGACATAAAGTCGCTGGAGAGGTTTAAGTTTGCTCTGTCATTGCTATGGCAGTAACATCTCTTCTCCGGCGTTACAAGCCGGCGACAATATCATCTGTTTTGTCTTTCTCGACGCAATGTTTTGTTGGACGAACATCATCACTCTCTGTTCCGACGGAAGCTCCTCCGGTTCCAAAGAAGATCCCATTCGCAATCTCATCTCATGGGATCACAAGGCAAGATCCTTACCGTTGGATGAAGAATACGGACGACACCGATTTCGTCGACTTCCTCAAGCGTGAGAACTCATACGCTCAAGCTTTCATGGCTGACACAGAAACCCTGAGGCGTGATTTAGTCTCCGAGATGAAAACTCGTATCCCGGAAGAGATTTTCACTTCTCCTGAACGTTGGGGACAATGGTTCATCTCTCCAATCTTGCAACTTTTCTTTGATTCGAGTCTTAAGGAGTGAGCTTTTTGATTGACTGGGTTTAAATTTTCAATTGAGCAGGTTATATAGACAGTACATACCCAAAGGAAAAGAGTATCCTCTTCTATGTAGGAGATTGGAGAAGGATAAAACAAATTGGCTCTCTGGTCTTTTTCTTGGAGGAGAAGAAGAAGAAGTTGTGCTTGACTGGAATCAAATTGCAGAGCAGTTTGGTAAAGTTTATTCCTTTAGTATAATGTTGCAGTGTTGATTTAGAGTCATAAATCACTAAGCAAGTGTTATGTGTACTACTTACTTCAGGTTATGTTCATGTTGGGGTCTGTCGGGTTTCACCTGATCATAACTATCTTGCTTATACGGTTGATCCCGAGGGAGGTGAGCGTTTCATTCTCCAAATTAAGGATTTGAGAACTGGTCGTTTACTTCCGAGGTTGGAAGTTGATGGAGTTGTTAGCTTGGCATGGGCTTTAGATGGAGTCACCTTGTTTTACACTGTTGCAGATGAAAACCAAAGACCTCACAGGCAAATACAGTGACTCATATTAGTAGATAGATAGCTTTTTAATTTTATTAAACTTGGGGAGTGTTTGTTCAATTGTGACTTGTTTTTGCAGGGTTGTTGTTACAAATGTTGAATCAGATGGGAGAGATGATGCTGTAGTGTTTACTGAAAGAGATTCCAGTTTCTGTGTAGACATAACGACCACAAAAGATGGCAAGTTTGTTACTATCAATTCAAACTCAAGGACTTCATCCGAGGAATTTACCTGTTTCAACTGCATTTTTTGTTTTCTTGGTGTCGTCTATCACCGATATACTTTAGGCTCAAGCTGAGTTATCTTGTTTTCAGGTTTATATTGTAAATGCTGATAAGCCAATGGCTGGTTTGCAAAGAACTCGCGAGCGAGTTCCTGGTGTGCAGTGTTTTCTTGAACATCACAATGGGTTCTTTTACATTCTTACAAATTCTCCCTCAAATGCAATTAGTGAATGGTCTGGTGAAGGCTATTATTTGACTAGATGCTTAGTGGAGGAAGTTGAAGTATCCGACTGGCAGGTTTTGGTTATTTTATAATTCTCATTTTCCGAAACTTTTTTGCAGATAGAGAATAATTCTGATTTTTCTTGTCAGACTGTTTTCTGTCCAAATGATGATGTGGTAATACAAGATATGGACATGTTCAATGACTACCTGGTGCTTTTCCTTAATAAGAAGGGTGTACCGATGCTCTGTTCCATTGATATGCCCATAAAAGCAAATACGAAGGTATTTCTGATTAATCTTGGGTTGTATTTTTTGTCTCTGTCCCTTTGTGTTCATACATTGTTACTAAGGTATGTTTCTATTTTTGCAGCATATGGATGATCTTGTTCCCTGGTATTTTCCTCTTCCAGTTGATTCATGCAGTGTTGCCCCGGGTTCAAACCACAACTTTCTGAGCTCTGTATACCGAGTGGTGCTTTCGTCTCCTGTGGTATATATACTTATTTACTTTAGGAAACGGGTTCCTCTATTTGTTTTAGCTTTGAACCATAACATAGTTTGTTTGCATTTGAATTATTCTTTCTACTCTGATACTTTCTCTGAATATCTTACTGTTATTTTTGGAATTGCAGATTCCTGACACTATCGTCGACTATGACGTGTCAAGAAGATTGTTCTCAATTGTGCAGCAGGAGGGAGGGGTTTTAGATAATTCTGATAGTAGTAAGCCATGGTACTCTGCAGATCGCTCTGTGGAGAATAGCGGTCAACTTAATGATAGAACCAGCGAGGGCGAAGATGGTAAGTTAGATTCTCGAGTACCTAAATGGGAGGACTTATCTGATGCATATGTTTGTGAAAGACAAGAAGTTTCTTCACATGACGGAGTTGAAGTCCCTCTTACAATTTTGTATTCACGAGAAGCATGGAAGAAGAGTGAATCCCCAGGAATGTTGATAGGTTATGGCGCTTATGGAGAAGTTTTGGACAAAAGCTGGTGCACAAATCGATTGAGTATGCTTGATCGTGGTTGGGTGATTGCTTTTGCTGATGTGAGGTCAGTCACTAAACATAACCAAAGCATTCAATTATCATTTGCTTCACGTTGTCTTCACTTGGTATAATAGTGGTTGATTTGAATGTGCTGCTATAAGAGTTTCATTTTGGCCTCAGGGGAGGAGGCAGTGGGGATTTTTCATGGCACAAATCCGGAACTAGATCGTTGAAACAAAATTCAATCCATGATTTCATATACAGTGCGAAATATCTAATCGAAAAGGGCTATGTGCATAGACATCATCTTGCTGCTATTGGGTACAGCGCAGGAGCTATTCTTCCAGCTGCAGCCATGAATATGCACCCGAGTCTATTTCAAGCTGCGATTTTGAAGGTAAGAATATTATGGCATAGCAAAATGCATTAAGTTGTGTAAAGAATAATCAAAAGCTCATATCATCAAGGTGTACCATTTGGGCAGGTTCCTTTTGTAGATGTGTTAAACACATTATCGGATCCAAATTTACCTCTCACACTCCTAGACCATGAAGAATTCGGTAACCCGGACATCCAAACTGACTTCCGATCCATCCTTAGCTATTCTCCATATGATAAAATCCGAAAAGATGTTTGCTATCCGTCTATGCTTGTCACAACTTCGTTTCATGACTCAAGGCAAGCTTCACACAAGAACCCTTAAAACCATCTCTTTTCTTTTTGTTTTAAATAAGAATATTTGGATCACAGTTTGCGTGTGTTTTTGGGTCAGGGTTGGAGTATGGGAAGGCGCAAAATGGGTGGCTAAGATACGGGACAGTACGTGCCACGACTGCTCACGGGCAGTGATTCTGAGAACAAATATGAACGGAGGCCATTTTGGTGAAGGTGGTCGCTATGCTCAGTGCGAAGAGACTGCCTTTGATTATGCTTTTCTTCTCAAAGTTATGGGTTATCACAACGATAGATAAAATAAAAGAATCATATCATCTTTGGTTTAGCTTCACATGATTTTATAACAGTCTATGATTGCTTTGATCTCATTCTCTCCAACGAGGATACAACAACCAAAAAAAGGAAGACAAAATCAGAAAAAATAATGCAATAACTTGAAACGAAATCTGCTATTCCACAAGAGATTATATTTGATAGGTTACATGAATGATGCAGAAGATGATACAAACTCAGTACCACAAAAAACGTAGAATCTACTAACCAAAGTTTATCTTAACGACTATAGGAAGCCCCTAGAAGCCGAACAATGTACACGATAGAAGGAATCTGTTAATACATTTATATATTCCAAAGCGGTGGAGCCTGAGAGAGAAATGTCACAGTGTTTTCATCCGCTTGTGAGAATGTTCAGATTCTTCCTCAACGCTTGGATCCCTTGCTTGTGTATCAGATGATAATAGATTCTGCATAGAAAGTATGTATCAACATCACCGTATATGGTTACTGTTACATGGAATGTGAAGCCGACTAGTTTACCTTACTTGACGGCTCGTCATGAGTTAGTCCTTGATTGGCTCGTTTCCCAAGGTCAATCTGTACAGAAAGTTTTGCATGCGACAGATCGATTCCTGCGTTCTGGAGAGCTTGTGTCAATGAGCTCAATAACCTGGTCATTTCAGAATACACATTATTAAGAAACCAACAGATCAATTTGATAAAAAGAAGTAACAGAAATGAGGCAGAGTTAGAACATCAGGTTTAACTCACTCATGCGAGTAGGCACTAGAGATGCTAATGGTTCCACCTTCAATAACCAGGTCATTACTTTGGCCTAGCCCATCACTAGTTGCAGGACATTCATTAGCTTGTTCGCCTTGTACCATTGGAAGAATTGGTTGTAGTGGTGGTAATCCTTTGTCGTCTAACTCAGGTTGACTTTCAATCGATATGCCGGTTATAGCTCTTCCTTTGTCAGATTCAATCGGGATTTGCGGTTCTGCAACAACTGCAGGTGTCGAAGTCACAGTGTTTTCTTCAAACTTTCCAGGAAAAGGTATCCCTGGACCAGATCCATTATTTATAGCTACTGGATGGTTCGCCAAACTTTGAACTCGCCAATGATTATTCCTCTGTTCCAATCAAGAAAACATAAGCTTCAGCTAAAAAGTCACACAAAACTGGCAGCAGAAAGACTTGCAGAATAGTGAAATGGCAGTGGGAATCAACATAGTAAGGGTGCTAAAATGTCTACAATCACAGAAACTCAATGAGAAACCGACAAAAGAAGAAGCTGAAAATTTTACCCATGGCGTCAACTTTGTTGGCTCCTGACTCCATCCCGGATACGATCCTTCATACTTTTGCACCTTCTCTTGTAAATACTGAACATAATCTATCACCTAGAATGTTGTAACAGCAGTACTATTAAGGCTAACAAGATCTAAACGCCAAGATATTCGTATTAAACATCATTAATAACCCATTCTATACCTCTAAAAGGAAGGAAGCAGTATCTCTTTTCTGTTCACTGTTGGGAATCAGTTCTCTCAATATCTGAAATCTGAGAAGAGATTTATAAATTCAGCACTCATACTAAGGAAACAAAGATGATAGTATAACTAAGTCCCATACCAATAACCACAATCTAAGGCAGAGCAAAATTCCCAAACACAAATCCTCTGTTTATTCGAACATACCTTTCATTGATTTTGCTTCTTCTCCGTTGCTCAGTGACAGAATGTTTAGAACGAATCGCACTAGCTTTATCATTTTCCTTTGAATCTGCTTTCAAAATCAAACACCGAATCATACAGAGAAAACCACAAATCTCATCACAAACTCTTCAAAACAAATCCAAATCGATTCATATCAACAATAGCTCCAATGAAAACACAAATCGAAGAAACAACAACTAAGAAAATTCAAAAAATCTCCCAAATCGAACAATTACCTCTGTTGTTGTTATTGTTGCTATGAACAGTAGTGTTGGAAGAAGGACCTTCACGTTTCGAGCTAAAGTCTTCTTCTCCGTAATCTTCTTCCTCTTGATTTCCTTTTCCGGTTCTCATCTTCGCCGGAGAATTGTTTTTTTTTTTTTTTTAACTTTTGCCGTCGACGAGCTTCTTCTATTGTTTTTTTTTTTGGTGACTCGTGACTCGGCTGAGTTTTGATTACCTGTGGGAGAGACTACGTGAGAGATCACTTGAGTTTTTGTCCGTCAGTTTCGTGATTTGGACACGTGTACGAAACGATGTGATTATCCGGTTAGGCCTCTAAATGAACCGTTGCTTGTGATGACACGTGGGGTTCACGTGATTAGACGGGATTCTAACCTATCAGATTTAAGGTTGTCACGTGATGCACGTGGCCTCTTTCTGATCTGTTAATTTTTTCACTTATGATCTATGTTTGTTTCTAATCGAATGGTAAACATATATTCCTATGTTTTTATTTATCACTTACATATCAATTTCCGAACGTTATTAATAAAATTCTTAGATAATGTATTCTTTCAAATTATTTCCAAATTCTTGGTCTTAATGAACATTTGAATTATATATATAAAAACTGAAGTCAACACATAAATAAAAGTGTTAACATTAAAACCAAAAAAAACACACAAAAACAAGTAGAATGAAACGAAGAGCAAATGGACTACCAAACCAATACTATGAAGGGCTTATTGAATGATCAGTTTTGGGCCAGTTATGGGTTTAATTTATTTGGGCTTGAGAAGCCCAAGAGTTACAAAAGAGAAAAAGAAAAAGGAAAGCAATTGTATCAGAGCCAGGTTTCGATCCTGGGACCTGTGGGTTATGGGCCCACCACGCTTCCGCTGCGCCACTCTGATTTGTTGATAGTCTGTTAAGTTGTTGTATTTTTATTTTTAACAATTAATAACTCGTGCTAGAATATGGGCTTTGAGCCCAAATAAGTGCGGTAACGGATCTGATAAGCGGGTCGGGTTTTACAAAGATCCATGAAATGTGAAGCAGAAACCGAAGGTTTTATGAAGGGTTTATTTCGGCGGCTGTGTACTTCACTTTCACGGCGCCTTCTCTTTTCTCCAGATCTCTCTTCACTTCACACAAGTCTTGTTTTTTTTATAATCTGTTCATCGAATCTTCACTCTTTGATTTCTATGTTTGTATTGATATCTCTACAAAATCCAGTAGCTACATAGCCCGAGATTGTGCTCGTGGAGGAAGTAATCTATCAGAAGTTACCATTTCGTGGCGATCACAAAGACGATTCAAAAAATGTGGAGGAACATTTTGGGAAGAGCTTCATTGAGAAAGGTTAAGTTTTTATCTGATTCTAGCTCCGGTCCTCATTTTCAAGTGAATAGAGTTCGTGGGATTCTTTCTTCTGTTAATCTCAGTGGCGGTAGAAATGGATTATCGATAAACCCAATTGAAGAATTGGGAAGATTTAGCTCGTTTCGTTATGGTCAATGCTATGTTTTTGAAGGGTATGTTACAGCTGCTCAAGCTATTGATTCGACTGATCCTGAAGATGAGTCTTCTGGGTCTGATGAAGTTAATGAATTGATAACGGAAATGGAGAAAGAAACTGAGAGAATCCGTAAAAAAGCTAGGCTTGCAGCGACACCGCCAAAGAGAATTATTGCGGGAATGGGAGCACAGAAGTACTATATGCTGAGACAAAGACAAGTGAAAATGGAGACTGAAGAATGGGAAAGAGCAGCGAGAGAGTGTCGTGAGATTCTTGCAGATATGTGTGAGCAGAAGCTTGCACCGAATTTGCCTTATATTAAGACTTTGTTTCTCGGCTGGTTTGAGCCTGTGCGTGATGCTATTCAAGCTGATCTTGATGCTTTCAAAATCAAGAAAGGGAAAATTCCGTATGCGCCTTTTATGGAGCAGTTACCGGCTGATAAGATGGCTGTTATCACTATGAATAAGATGATGGGATTGTTGATGACTAATGCTGAAGGCGTTGGCATTGTTAAGCTAGTTAATGCTGCTACTCAGATCGGGGAAGCCGTTGAGCAGGAGGTGGGTTTCAATTTCTCTTGGTGCTTTTGATGCTATTTTATGATATAGGTTGAGAGTGAATCTAGTATTGTGTCATTGATACATATTGCGTAGTCCCCATGGGTCATGAAGTGTATATTGGTTTGATGGTGTGTGTATCTTGTTACTGGATCAGGTCAGGATCAACAGTTTTTTGCAGAAAACTAAAAATAAAAAAAATGCAACTGACAAGACGATTGAAACAGAAGCTGTGCATGTTTCAGAAGAAACCGTGGCCAAAGAAACGGAAAAGGCGAGGAAACGAGCTACTGTACTGATGGAAAAAAAGAAGTTGAGGGAAGTAAAAGCAATAGTGAGGAAACATGACTCATTCAAGCCATGGGGTCAAGAGGCTCAAGTGAAGGTTTGTTTATACTTCCACACTTGTTAATGCACAGAGCTTTATAATAGTTCTTCTCTTCCTTCTCTTTTTTTCTCTTCTCTGTGATTCAATAATATTGGCTCTTGTGCTTCTAGGTCGGCGCACGTTTGATTCAGCTGCTGATTGAAAATGCATATATACAACCTCCAGCTGAACAGTTTGATGATGGTCCACCTGACATCCGACCTGCTTTTAAGCAAAATTTCAGAACTGTCACATTAGAAAATACGTAAGAGTCTTGCGTATCTGTTTATGCTCATTCACATGTATCTGTCTCTGTCTCTCCCTCTCCCTCTCCTTGTCTCTGCTGTTTATTTACATTCTATTGTATTCTTCCTCAGAAAAACGAGCAGGAGATATGGTTGCATCGAATGCGATCCTTTGGTCCTAAAGGGCCTTGACAAATCAGTAAGCAGAATCGTGGACTATGTTTTTGCTGTTCTTTTATCTGATATCAGTTGTACCTTTGTGATGTTTGGGTCGGAACAATGTTTTACCACTATAGATCAAGGCATTTTAAATTGATTCTGAGACAATCTCCCTACTCTTTTCTCACAATTTTCCTCTGTTTTAAACAGGCTAGACATATGGTCATTCCCCACTTGCCAATGCTAATACCTCCCCAGAACTGGACAGGGTATGAACTATTTTCACCAATAATTAGCACTTATATTCTTCCTTTCTTACTCTTGCTAGATCCCCTTTATAGATTTCTCCTTTTATTGGCATTTGTTCTTATATAGCCGTCATACAGGGGATATCTACAGTTTGCTCAAGTATGTTTCTTGAATTGCTACTGACAGTATTTTACAGGTATGATCAAGGGGCACACCTTTTCTTGCCTTCATACGTCATGAGAACACATGGAGCTAAACAACAACGTACTGTAATGAAACGAACTCCAAAGGAGCAACTGGAGCCAGTGTATGAGGTCTGAGTTCCTTTACCTGTATTGCGAGTTAATATTGCTTGAGCTAAACCATTTATTGGATTCTTAAAAACAGATGGGAGTTGCGAAATTATGAGTATTGTGTTATTGACAGATAAGTTCATGTGATTCCTTTTGTTTAATCAGGCTTTAGATACTCTAGGAAACACCAAATGGAGAATAAACAAAAAGGTGTTAAGTTTGGTGGACAGAATCTGGGCTAATGGAGGTCGCCTTGGTGGTCTGGTTGACCGTGAAGATGTAAGATCTCTCTCTTTCTACCCCCTTCTTTTTTTTTTTATGTGGATCTACTTGTAGTTCTTATTCACCCATCCGCTAGCCATCTTCTTCAGAAGAAGGAAGTAATTTTGATTCCTACTTCTCTTTTATAAATTTTGATTTTTTCTCACCTCTTTATAAACTACAAAAGGTACCCCTTCCAGAGGAGCCGGAAAGGGAAGACCAGGAAAATTTTAAAAATTGGAAATGGGAATCGAAAAAAGCAGTTAAGCAAAATAATGAGAGACATTCACAAAGGTGTGATATAGAGCTCAAACTCGAGGTAAGAGAAGACTTCTTTCTTGCACTCTTTTTTGCTGCTGTGATGTATAAAAACATCATTGTACTTTCATTTGATTGAGCAGGTGGCACGTAAAATGAAGGACGAGGAAGGTTTTTACTACCCTCACAATGTTGATTTTCGTGGCCGAGCATATCCCATTCATCCATATCTTAACCATCTCGGGTCTGATCTCTGCCGAGGCATCCTTGAGTTTTGTGAGGGAAAGCCTCTTGGGAAATCCGGGTTGCGTTGGCTGAAGATACATATAGCAAACTTATATGCTGGTGGAGTCGATAAGCTGGCTTATGAGGATAGGATTGCATTTACTGAGAGTCACTTGGAAGATATATTTGATTCTTCTGATAGACCTCTTGAAGGAAAAAGATGGTGGCTTAACGCAGAGAATCCCTTTCAATGTTTGGCTGCTTGCATCAATCTTTCAGAAGCCTTGAGAAGCCCCTTTCCTGAAGCTGCTATATCTCATATCCCCATCCACCAGGTACTCGGTAGATTTTATCTATACTTGTACATGAACAACTTTTGTGACATCCTGGCGAAATGAAAATTATATAGGCGCCTTTGTTGCTTCGAGATCATCATCTATACTCTTTAAGTAGATAATCTTACTTTCCTGTATTATTTTTCGATTGCAAGGATGGTTCATGTAATGGTTTACAACACTATGCTGCTCTTGGGAGGGATAAGGTATGCCATTAGTTTTACAGTAACTCTAATTTTTTTTTTGTATGCATCCTTTCGAGCATAGGCAAATGTATTTCTCCTCAAGGTTCTCTGATTCATTTCATTCAAATTGTTTCTGTTTATAGTTGGGAGCAGATGCTGTCAACCTTGTAACAGGTGAAAAGCCGGCAGATGTTTATGCACAAATTGCGGCTAGGTACTTTATCTATCTTTATATTCCCTTATCTCTCTGGCTATAGTAACACTCTAATCAGACAGGATTTTAACTTGGTTTAATTAAATCAGGGTTTTCAAGATCATGCAGCAAGATGCAGAGGAAGATCCTGAAACGTTTCCAAATGCCACATATGCCAAACTCATGCTCGACCAGGTTTTTCACATCTCTTGCTTGTTATATTGGCCACTTTCTGCCAAATATGTTGCCTGACAACCCATTCTGATCCCAGCACCATAAGGATCAGATGTACTGCTACTATGTGTCACTTTAATACTTGTTTGTGATCATCCTATCTGACAACAGCACTCTACTATTGAAATTCCTTAGGTTGACAGAAAGCTGGTAAAACAGACTGTCATGACATCAGTGTATGGTGTTACTTATTCTGGCGCACGTGACCAAATAAAGAAGAGGTTAAAAGAACGTGGTACCTTTGAGGACGACTCACTGACTTTTCATGCAGCTTGTTATGCAGCAAAAGTAAGGAAATGATAATTTACTTGCTTGGTTTAGGCAACAATATGCTTTCTATGGTTATGCATTTGTAATCTGCGATTGATTTTTGGATTTTGGCATCGAAGGTTCACTTTTTTATTGGTTCTGTTTCTAGATCACTTTGAAAGCATTGGAAGAGATGTTTGAAGCTGCAAGAGCTATCAAGAGTTGGTTTGGTGATTGTGCAAAGGTCAGTTCTTATATCCGTGATGCTCTTATTGAGGCTTCTGCTTAAGAAATCATAAGTTACGAAGGAATTTTCACTTGACAAATGGTTACGACAATGAGAGTTGTTTTCTGTGGTGGGCAGATAATAGCTTCAGAAAACAAAGCAGTTTGTTGGACGACTCCTCTTGGACTTCCAGTTGTACAGCCTTATCGGAAGCCTGGAAGACATTTGGTAATGCTCTTAACTTCTTTGATAAATGAAGGAGCACAAATGATCAGCTGAAAAAAATGGATAGCGACTCTCTTGAATATCACTGAATTTGAGATGCATTAATTTTGGCAGGTTAAGACTACCCTTCAGGTGTTGACTCTAAGCCGTGAGACTGATAAGGTAACCCAACCAAATTTCATTCAACATAACTTTTCTCCATACTGTATTTCCATTAATTGGAAAATATGACTCGACATTCTTATTTGGAAAAAGAGTAGGGTTCAGCTTACATCTTATCGTAATGTAGCATTTGGGTAGATTTGATGAGTTTTAAGCAGAACAGTCTCATCTTTGTGCACCACATACTGTATTCTTGGTCAGATCATGGCGAGGAGGCAGATGACTGCTTTTGCACCAAATTTTATACATTCTCTTGACGGGTCTCACATGATGATGACAGCAGTTGCCTGCAACAGGGCGGGCTTGAGTTTCGCAGGTCAGCTCTAGCCTTTCCGTATACATCTACCTGATGTTGATTTCTCTAACTAGATTCTTACTCTTCACACCAATTTCGTATTTGTAGGGGTGCATGATTCGTTCTGGACGCATGCCTGTGATGTTGAAATAATGAACACAATACTCAGAGAGAAGTTTGTCGAGCTCTACGAAAAGCCAATCTTAGAAAACGTAAAAGAATCTACTTATTACATCTTTCAGTGGGAATACAATTTTCTTTCTTCGTTTTCTTATAACTAAACTCATGATGGGTGGTTTATCTGTGTATTGATAGTTGTTGGAGAGTTTCCAGAAGTCCTTCCCAGACATAAGTTTTCCGCCATTACCAGAACGAGGCGACTTTGATCTGAGGAAGGTCCTACAGTCGACATACTTCTTCAACTGAGCTGCAACACATTCAGGTTACTTACATATTGGAAGGTCCAATACTCCACGTCTAACATTCAGGGCAGAGTAAGTTTGCTTCTTCTGGCCAATACAACATCCACATTGATCAAAGGGGAAAGATTCTTTGCAATCAGGAATAAGGAATGTTGATGGTTAACCTCAACTCAGAGGTGGGCTTTGCTACTTGTAAATATACACAGAAAGAGTGTTTCAAAGCTTGGCAGGAGGGAAGGCGTTGGGTCAGAGTATCGAACCAGTGGCCTGGCACTCCAGGATTACTTGCAGTTTCTTATCGACCACAGAAAATTACCAAGAGATACAGGCAGTCTTGTAGAAACTATAAACGGCTGCCGAAGGATATTCATTAGATGGTCTTAGTAGATGCTCTTTTTTTATTGACGTGTAATGTATTATGTACTATATAACTCTAAAATGCATTTTATATAATAATATATGAACTTGAGTTCATCATCCAAGAAAGAAAAGGATGATATTATTGTGTATACATTGGGTGAAACAAGAATTATCCAAACTCTCTTGGAACTTTTAAAGAATTGATCTAAAAGCTAGCAAACAACTTACAGGGAAAAAAAAAAAAAAAAAAAAAAAAAACTTACAGGGAAAACATTTAAGAAAACAAAACAAATGATTATGATCTCTCTCTGTTAGTGAATATTGGGATTAGCTCCTTAATTTTATCTTGGCCGCACAAAGACAAGTTTTGGATTTGATCGTTGAGAGGTTTTTTCATGTGGTAAGACCAACCCAGTTCTTAAAGGCATCAAGCAACTCCATTTTCTTTATCTTCCTCTTCCTCAACTTTGGCAATCTGAGGTTCTTCTGAGTCTCCATGAACGTTGCCTTGTACCTCCACTTATCCACAAATATCTTCATCTCCTGACATTTCTCTATCACTTGCAATGCCGTGCCAAAGAACCCTCCTTTGACTAATGCATTCAAGAACGCATCTGCAAGAGCATGCTCCAGTTTTGCATTCTTGTCTTTGAACTCTTTCCACAAAACCACCACCTCGAAGTACTTCTCGCAGCTCACATATCCATTGATCAACGACAAGTATGTCTGGTTATTTGGCTCATACTGAAGGAAAGCCATCCTTCTGAATGTACTCTTTGCATCTTCTAGACGCCCAGATTTACAAAAGGCATGGATAATCGAATTCCAATCATGGGACTTCACTTCTACGCGAGGATCTTCCACAACTTCCTCCACAAACTCTGCCATTAACTCAGGTCTCTGATTCTCAAGGAGACCTGTCATTATTGTTAAGTAGCATCCTTTCAAATCTGATACCCTTGTTTTTCGCATATCCCTAAACAGTGTAAGCGCAGATAGGAAATCCTGTTTCGTCATGGAAGCTTCAATCATAGTGTTATAGGTCTCAACGTCTAATTGAAGCCCATAGCTGCTGATCTCTGTAACCAGCTGAGTAGCTTCAGCTGTTCTGCCTTCTTTGCAATAGGCCTTCAAGATCGGTACATACACCCCAATCCCACCAGATCCTCCCTGAGCATTCATTTCATCAAGAATACTTTTACCCGAAAAACCGAGCTTGACACAAGCATTTACGATTCCAAACCCAACTGAACCGTTTAGGTCAACGGACAGAGATTCCAGCTTCTGAGCTTCGATTATCAGTTTGGCTAAACACTTAACGCTTTTACTCTCTATAAACCCTTTAACCAATTCACAGTACGTTTCCTCACCAAAACTCGAGTCTTCTCCACCTCCTTTAAGACTATGCAGTATAACATCAGAAACACTATCTAAATCACCACTCTTAACATATCCACTGATCACACTAGAATAAAAGATTCTTCTACTTGCAAACCCAAAACCATCCATCGAATTCTCAAGCTCACTTATCTTCTCTCGAAGCCCCTTTCTTGCATACAAATAAGCAAGAAACCCAAAGCTCGATTCGTCAGGCTTCACACCCAAAACAGCCATAGATTCAATTACATCTTCAGCATCAGCCAGAGATTCCAACTGCCGACAACACGCTTCAAGAGCCGCATTACTAGCTACCAAATCCGGTTTCATAAAATCAAGCTTCTCATCTACTGCAATTCTACAACTTTCCCTAAAAACCTTAAGAAACGCAGCCAAGCTTCCATTTTCACGACAGATATCGATAATCAAATGCCCCCAGAGATCAAAAGGAACAAAGTACCTGTTTTTAAACATACACTCAACCAAAGCCAACGCTGGTCCGGAAGCTTTCGCTAGTTTCATTGACTCCAGAACCGTACGGATGGTCTCAAACTCAAGCAAAATCGGATCTTTCTCGATAACGTAAGTCGTGGAAACAAAGGCACGCTTGAGTCTGTGCCTGAGGGAGGTGTTTTGATCTGCGTGGTGTAAGGAGGACAAGTGGGTGATGAGAGAATTGAGGAGACGCTTGTCGGGGAGAGAAGAAGCGGCGGCGAAGGATCGGAAGACCTTCCATGCTTGATCAGTGTCGTGGGTGATTAGGGAATGGTGGAGAGTTGATTCAAAGGAGGACTTTTGGTGTGGGGTTAGGGTTTTAGGCGATGGTTTTAGGGAAATTGAAGAGAAGGGTCTTCCTAGTGAGATTAAAGTTAGAGTCTTTCTCAACATTCGAGAAACAAGGGATCGCCTCCGTTTGTTCGTTACTGCAAAGTCCTAACTTTTAGTCAGTTTCTGACTCGTGCAAGAAAAATTGATGGTCGTAAGATACTCTGTTACAAACAGAGGGTTTAAGTAAACAAACTTCTTCATGTTGGGACATATTGAAAGAAGAATTCAAAGGAATTTCATAAGTGCCATAAGGTAGTAAACATGAAGCGGGGATAGCTCAGTTGGGAGAGCGTCAGACTGAAGATCTGAAGGTCGCGTGTTCGATCCACGCTCACCGCATTTTTTTTAACTTTTTTAATGTTTTTTTATAAACTTCACTAGAACATTCTCAACGCAAAATCTGAAAAGAAAACTTAAAACTTCACTAGAACATTTTTTTAAATAAAACTTCACTATAAGAACTTAAAATACATTTTAATGGTGAGCCATCTTTACATTTGAAAAGAGGTCGAAACTGTCAACCAAGTAAATACATGACAAAAACAAGAAACCAGATTGCTAGTGTTTAGCAAAATTCCATAAACTAGAAACCAAATGGCTTGGGTCGTTTGTTAACACAACTCATCCATTGCATGGAAGATAAGAAAACTGTATACTTTAGAAGGAGAGCAAGCACATTAGACAAAACAGTTTCAATCTAAAGTAAAGGACTAACAGAGACACTTTCTTGAAAAGCAAGAAAAGTATCTTAGATTTCTAAAGGACAATCAACAAGATAATAAAGATAGAGATAGCCATAATGAGTACAAACACAGCCTATAGGCTATATTAATAATGCCAGATGATAGATATTTGAAGACAAAAATCTTCTCTCCTATTGGGATATTGTGGGAGGAAGCCAAAACATGCGACCAGGTGGTGGAGTAGAGTCGGAGAGATAGCGGATGGTGCGAGAGGCGAGATCACATATACCAAAACCGGAACCATGGCCGGCAAAGTAGACAGAGTTAGGGTTAAGACCAGGGTAGTCCGTAGCAGAGACACAGAAGGATTCATTCTCGCCCAAGAAAATGCAGAGATCACCAATGTCATCGGTATAAGGACCAATCCCTTGCTCTTCGTCTTGCCTAAACACCATGATCTTGTGGGTCTTCTTGCAAAGGTCTTTGCTTTTTCTGTAACGTGTATCTTCCCATGGCGCAACTTCTCCTTTGTCCGTAAATCTCTCCACAAACCTAACAACAACACAGATTATATCATGTTCAAACCCTTATAAACAACACAAAGTAGAGACTGTAGAGTGGATTCTTATTACCATGCAACGATGAAGGATTGGCCCGAAGATGACTCGACTAGTTGTTGTTGGATCCTGAAACGAGAGAGACGCATTTCGTCCTCCAACTCTGGCAATTCGTCAAGAAAGTTAGAGAAGAGAAATCTCTTGTAGCCACTAACCGGAGTGGGTAAACCGGATTTCGGTGTGAAATCGGTCGGACCGGTATAGTCAGGGTTACAATTGTTCAAGTAAAATTTCCGGTGTCTCTCGGAGTAAATGACGGTGGAAGAATGGAAAGATGGGCAAGGCACGTCGATGCGAGTCCACTCGGAGTCACCAGGTCGACAAAGACTGACTCGTGACCCGAAAAACTTGACGGCGACCACACAGTCTTCTTCATTTGAAGATGAGACAGAGACATTAACATGGTGTTCATATTTGTCTCTGGTTAGTGGAGGTAAAGATATGATCTTCTTCGAAGGGTTTAAGATGTTAGTGAGACGCACTGTTGAATCTTTCTTGTTCAACGAAGCTAACCATCCTCTTGATGATCCTAACTTGTGAGATTTGTAGACTTCTTTTGATAGAATCTTGTTTTCGATCTTCACTTGCTCTTGCTTCCTCGGATCGTAGAGGTTAAAGTTGACGACTTTTCCACCACAAGGAGATTTTCCGACAAGATCGGTGCCGAGGAGGAGATACGGTGTCGTAGCCGTCGCCGTGGCCGTAGAGAATTCCGACCGACGGAAACAGAGGATCTGGTTCCGGGATATTGAAAGCTTTGAGAGTCGTCGGCACAAGATCTGAGACATTGTTTTAAAACCCTAATTCTCTTTTCGAGAGAAGAGAATCAAAGACAATAATAAAACCCTACACACCCAAACCCTGCTCTTTCCTTGGTGATCAATTTATTAGAGGTGCAAGAAAATGTAAAGTTTCTTTATCCGGAAAAAGCTTTTGAAGAAAATTCAGAAGCAACCCCCATATTCTAGCTATTTCACTCACAAAAAAAAATTAAAAGCCAGGAAAATCAATTTAGAATAGCAAGAATTACCAACCATATGTGGATAGATCAGGGTTAAGAAACCAAGGGTCGGAGAAAAAAAAAACATTTAAGGAAATACTTTTTCCCTCTGTTAAACAAAATTGAAAAAATATAAAACTGATTGTGTTTTAGAAGCCTAACCCTTTTCTTGCTTTTCAAGAAAGAGTCTCTGTTAGTAATTTTTACTTCAAATTGAAACTGTTTTGTTTAATGTGCTTGCTCCTTCTAAAGTATACAGTTTTCTCATCTTCTATTCAATGGATAAGTTGTATTAACAAACTGTCAACAGAGTCAACAATACTCAGCCTAAGTCAACAGAGCCAAAGCCTCCAACTCACATAGAGGTTTTGAAAAAAACAGATAAGAATCTTTATCCTCTGACTCAACCAGACTGCCACACAAGGAAGGAAGTTTTGCAATGTGGATAACCGAAGATAGTTTTGCAATGTGGACATGTATTTCACCTTGAATGGATGGAGAGAAGGAAGTTTGTCCCTTTTGTTCCAAGGGTTTTATATATCTAACACATATTTGTGGTTGTGTCTATATCTATTTTTATGACTTTTTAATTTTCTGGAATGTAAATTGGGTTTCATTTATGTTTGTGATTTAAATGTAAATTGCGTTTCATTTATGTTTGTGATTTAACATACAACACAAAGTTCTATGTATAAATACAGTAACGTAACTAAGTTCGTGGAGGTATCACCCGTTTTTCCGCCAAAACAGTTATCAATTGTTATTTCCTAATTAAGAAAAACAGTTATCAATTTATTATGTTGTTAATTTGGTGTGAAAAAAATGAAAAATATGCGGTGAGCGTGGATCGAACACGCGACCTTCAGATCTTCAGTCTGACGCTCTCCCAACTGAGCTATCCCCGCTTGATGTTTTAGTTCCTTATTTTGTGTAATAAATCACTTGCTAATTTTTATAAGAAAGTGCTCATAAGAAAGTCAGTCCTGGATTTATTTGCACGCACTCCGTCCTCCTATGGCCAGGGGTGATACTGTCTGTTACGCAGAGCCACACCTAGTCTACTTCTGCTGCGGCGGCTGCTACGATCACTACGGCTACTTCGACTCAACGAGGGGAAACACAATGATTAAGTCACAGCCACTCCCGTTCCCGGTCCAATAATTTTCCATGAATGTGTCTTTTGTTTCGTCATAACAAAGATGTTTGAATCTTTGCAATGAATCCTAAAACTCGGGTTTATTACAAATCCAATGGATTTCTAGCATGGGATTTTCTCTACATAATTTAACGTAATAGTGTTGGTTGGGAGGAAAAAGAAAATTCGATTATTTTGTACTCTTGGACGATCTCATCACAGACAATGTTTCTAATAATGTATTTTGGTCCTTTTACTTGGCTTGCTCTTCTTGTCTCAGATCATTGTAATACTCACTGATCCATTTCTCTATCTCAGCAACTTCTTGCCTCCTTTGTTCTTTCAGCCACTCAGGGTCGTCTTTTGTAGCAGCCCTGAGATCCGTATGGTAAGATAGAGAAATATAATGTTGCTACAAATATATTCAACACCATCTCTATTCTCTGCAATTAACAGACTCTGATTAAAAGCTGAGCTTTAGGTCTGTTATTTGGAAAAGAAAAGAGAAAAAACTCAAACAAACCTGTCCGCCAAATTCGGTGGTAGTCCAGTGGGGTCTAGGCTTGACACCATATAACCTGAGACAGTATTCTTGGTCTCCTTTCTCATCATTTTCAAATGGTGGAAACATGTTCTGGTTCAAATAGCTTATTGGCATTACCATATCTCTGTGCAATCCTTTTTTTCATCTAATAGTAGCACTGATCCATTAAGTAAGTTGAATAACAAATTAATTAACATCAAGGAAACAGATAGACTCATGAATACCTGCCAATCCCAACCATTGAGTCCATGAGGATCAGTTTGGTTTTCAATATCGAAGCAATTCTCTGAATCTGAATAGCTGTAGAATAAGTTTGCAGCTGCAAACGCACGATCAAGTTTGCTGGCTTCTAGAGGAAACCCGACGTCAATGATCTTGCATTCTGATGAAATATGATGTCTCGTGGTGAGTAAACCAGTACAAGAAAGAAAGCACACTCTAACATGTATTACCTCCTCCACTGGATAAACAGGCAGTGGAGCCATGGAATTTGCTTGAGTTGGGTAATTAACCATTGCTTTAACAATAAAGGGTGACTCCAGCCACCTTGAGGCTGAAGTGACAGAGTGAAGATCCCTGTGATTGTTAAGGATTAGACAATTGATCATCAAAAGATAGAGAGCTCGAAGATTAGCTTTGTCAACAATGAGGGAAAGCAGATTTTTACTTCCAAGTTCTAATAAACTTTTTGCTGAGTTCTTGTAACCAGCTTTCATGGTGGAAAAAAAGCCTGCAGTTCTCCCCAGCTTCTCTTGATGACTACAAAACAGTTAACACTTGCTTCCTGCTCTTAACAAGGGCATGAGAAGCTCTTAACAGCTTTCATTGAATATATACTTTTTGTACCAACTATATATATTAGAAATATACAGACCTTGAAATCCTGCGAAACTGTGGTCATAGAAGCTTCAAGACGGAACAATCTTATCAAACTGAAGAATATGAGCGGAGGGTGCTAATGCACCGATTGCTATATACGGATACTTAAGCCTGAACCAAGCTGGATTACCACCATGCACTTATCTCAATTCCAATCAAAATGGATTAGCTTGCGAAATACAGTTCTTATAATTGACATATTGTAGACTCTCATCACTGATTAACAAGTGTGTTTGCAACTTATCAAGGAAAGAACAAAGAGTAACACCAGTCTTGTCCATGAAGCAGCTCGGACACAAAACAACTTGTGTCACCATCTCTAAGACGTATCCTAATCAGCGTATTATAGGTACCACTATTTGGGCGAGGCCCGTTTTCTTTCAGTTGATTGAAGAACAAGGCATCTGCTTCCTCCTTTAAACCTTTCCTACAAAATCCTGAGATCTTTGTGTTATACTATATGTTACAACATCGGGCTTCACTCCTTTAAGGCCGAGGCTACAAAATAATTCCCACCCAACTTCCACCTTCCCATGTAAACCTGAATGATTTCACGAGGACTCCTAAACCCGGTTAAGTAAACCTGAATCCGGTTTAGTTAACTGTCACTGGCGCATTTTGTATTTTTTTCTTGAATGACTGCAATACCCTTTTATCGGTCCGAGTGTTGAATAATCATCTGAGGGTAAAACTGGAAATTGGGTACTATAAATTTTCCAAAAAGGAGAGAATTTTAGGGTTCTTGATTTTCATTAGTTTAAGTATGAGGCTCTGCTCCCGGAGGTTGTTTTTGTCTTCCGGTGGAAGCGGAGCCGATGATTCAAAATCTTTCTTGACGAGCCACTTTTTAAAGTGGTGATGAATCGTCCAATCATCTCCTCCATCACCATTACCAACTTCTGATCTTCCTCGCTTACTGTTTCTTCTTCTTCTTCTTCTTCTTCTTCATCTTTTGGGTTAAGCTCGACTATGATGATTCTTAAGAAGTCAATAGACCAGACATTGTTGGTAACACTCTCTTTCATGGCAGGGCTATAAGGAAAAAAAAGAACTCTTTGTTTTTCTTTGTTAGCAGCCATGGCTGATGAGTATATCCCTCTAATTTGTCTGAGAAAAGGCGAATCTGAGTCCTCTCCTCTGACATGCAAAGCTTTTATTTTTTTGAAGTGTTTTTTAAATCTAAAGTTTTGAGTTTTGAGAATGACAGAGCTTTTATAAATTGATGATTTTTGTCTTAAGATAGATCTTATGCAAGTGTTCTCAGTAGTGTGTTTCTTCTATATATCTATCATATAATTCACATGGATGTGAGCAATGGACATATGATTATTGTCAAATTAGTGTTGCCAATGAAAGATTTCAGATTCTAAACCCAAACAAGATACAAGTAAGAAAACAAAGAGGAAAAATTTATGTCTTTATTGTTCTTATAGTTAATTTACTCTGCCCTGAATGTTAGATGGAGTATTGGACTACTCTGCTTAAGACTCATCACATCTTTAAATCTATCCAAATGCTAGCTACATTATGATAAGAAGTATGCTAAACCCTACTCTTTCTCCAAATATGTATGTCGAGTCATCATACTTCCAATTGATGGAATGGAAAACAGAGAGAAAAGTTATCTCTTCCAATGCTTTCAAAGAGAGTTTGTAACTATAATTCAAGCAATGTAAAAAGTGTAAGAAATGATAAGACTAACTCAAAACAATTGGTAATGAATAGAAAACTCCGTATCTTTTGATATATATTAATGTCAAATATGTATATATTTTATTCCCAAGAGCCAACAAGAACCAACGACTTGATCAAATATAATTCTGCACCACTATAACAAACATGAAGAAATATATATACAAGTCAATGTGATCCAATGGCATATCTTACCAATTCAAGATTTTATCATTAAACAAAACCCAATAAAGAAAGAAAGACAACGACATCGGACATTACCTACCAAATACTTTTGTATTTAAACAAAGTACACTGAAATATCAAGAAAACGTCAAAGTACAACAGAAAGTTTCAGATCAACTTTTTCCAACCATCATCATTTTACCCTTTGGTTTGTGGTCTAACGAATCTGCAGAAGAGAGATAGTGCAAGAAGAAACAAACAAAGTCAACAAAATCCAAACATATGTTTTCGTAAAGAATATGCTTAACAAACTACTCTGAATCAGAGTCTCTGATTTGACTCCTTCAATTTTTTACTGTGACCCCACTTCCTCCTAAAAAGTCGTCTCCTCAATCATCATCGGAGCAACAAATTTACCTTTAGTGGGTTCCAACTTCTCTGAAACAGAGGACCAAGTGTGTCCTTCAAGTCTTTTGCCAGATGAAGTAATAGTTGGAGACTTGGTAAGCAGAGTGAGACAAGACCATCTTTGAACAAATGGGATGTCGGTAAGACTTTCTTCAATCTTCTCTTGTTTCCTTTTGCACCTTCAAACAAATTCTTGATCATATCTTTCGAATTATCTCAATTCTCAAACCAACGGAATCTCTCACCTTTCCCCCTATTTTTGTGATCTCAGACTCAAGAAGAAGATATAGGCACAAGTGATACACTGATTGGATCATTGTTGGCGTCCATTTCTGAGGTGATCAGATCTTTGGAGTCCTTACAAGCAGAAACAGAGAGGTTCCTCGAATGCGCTTGCTACTTTTATCGAGTTTCAGTTGTGTTAATGGAGATACAGACAGCAGAGAGCAACGTCGTATGTTCAATTGATATTTTTGAATCACTATCCGATAGTATAGATGTGGCCAAGAATCTGGTTGAGAAATCTCAAGAAAGCAACGGAGCTGAATCAACTACTGATCTGAGAAGCATTGAGGCAGGTTTTGAAGGTGTTGTGAAGCAGATGGGTGAAACTTTGCAGTCCATACCTGAATCAACATTCGACGAGGAAGAATATATAGGAGTTGTTATCCAGTCTCTTTCAAATGAGATGCAGAATGCCAGCATTGGAGATGGTAGTAAAAGTGAGATGATACAGAATGGGCAGCAGAAGATTTCTGAAAAGCATCCACCGGAAATTGTGTCAGAGCAAATGGAGGAAGATCTTTATCCCACTGATCCTGAATTTTCCTATGAAAGTTACATGATGTATAGTGAATCACAATCACAAATGACCGAAATACCAGATATCCCAAGCCAGAGCACAGATGTTAGCCGCCAGAGAAAGCATGGAAATCATAGTGAATCACAATCACAAGTAACCAAAATACCAGATATCCCAAGCCAGAGCACAAATGTTAGCAGCCAGAGAGAGCATGGAGATCTCAGTAAATCACAATCACAAATTACCGAAATACCAGATATCCCAAGCCAGAGCTCGAATGCTAGCAGCCAGAGAAAGTATGGAATTCTTAGCGAATCCTTGTCAATGTTACCACAGGTGACACAGTTCATGGAGCCTCCATACCAAGCTTTCATCTGCCCATTGACCAAAGAGATAATGGATGATCCTGTCACCACAGAAACAGGAGTAACCTGCGAAAGACAAGCAGTAATAGAGTGGTTTGACAGTTTTGGAAACTCCGATGAGATCAACTGTCCAGTTACCGGGCAAAAGTTGACTACTGAATTAAGTGAAAATGTTGTCTTGAAAACCATCATTCAGGAATGGAAAGTACGTAACGAGGCAGCAAGAATCAAAGTGGCTCATGCAGCTTTATCCTTAGGCGGTTCAGAAAGTATGGTTATCGACGCATTAAGAGATCTGCAAATGACCTGTGAAGGGAAAGAGTACAACAAGGTACGAGTCCGTGAAGCTGGGATCATTCAGCTGCTTGATAGATACCTGACATACAGAAGTAAAGATGTGAGGTATGAGCTGCTACGGTTGTTAAGGACACTGGCGGATGAAGACACTGATGACGGAAAGGTTGGATCTCTTTTACTTACCCATGATATGCGCTGCTGTATTTCTTTATCCTAGACACAGGACTTCTACTTCTTGTTTCAATAGATTTTTATGTTTCAAAGTATCTTACAGGAAATGATTACGAAGACAATAACTATGTCATGCATAATCAAACTTTTGGGAAGCAGTCACCAGCCTGTAAGGCATGCAGCACAAGCCTTACTGCTTGAGCTTTCGAAATCCCAACATGCGTGTGAGAAGATTGGGACTGCTACAGGGGCGATATTGATGTTAGTTACCGCAAAGTATAACAGAGAGTTGGATGCCTTTGCATCTGAAACATCAGACCAAATCTTAAGAAATCTAGAGAAGTGTCCTGAGAATATCAAGCAAATGGCAGAGAGTGGGCTATTGGAACCTCTTCTGGGGCATCTAGCAGAAGGTAATTCATTACTGCTTTTCTCTCCAAAGTATATGGAGCATAGTTACTATATAAGCATTACCTGGAGTGAAATGATAAACAATGAATTGATGTTGATTAATATCAGTTTGCTTCCGAATGATATATGGCAGGGAGTGAAGAGACTCAGGTGGCAATGGCTGCGTACCTTGTGGAAATTGATATTGGACATGAGAAAAAAACTTACGTAGCTGAGAAGGCTTGCCCTGCGCTCATTGGGCTGGTGCAAAGTGAAAATACTGACGCTAGAAGAGCCGCCTTCAAAGCTCTTGCTCATATTTCATTGTATCACCCCAACAACCAGATATTGGTAGAAGTTGGCATCATCAAGATCATGGTCGAAGAGATGTTCACCAAGCGAGTTTTTAGTGATCTGATGAACTCCAGGAACGAAGCTGCTACAATACTTGCAAATATACTGGAATCTGGGCTGGAACATGAGACCTTTGAGGTGAATACTCATGGCCACACATTAGGCTCGGATTACTTTGTATACAACATCATCCAAATGCTCAAGAACTCAAGCCCAGACGATCTTAACATTGATTTGATCAGGATACTCCTATCCTTGTCCAAATCACCCAGGGCGATGGCAACAATTGTCTCAGTGATCAAAGAAACCGACGCAAGCTTCGCCATGATAGAACTCATCAACAATCCTCATGAAGAATTGGGGGTTGGAGCATTAAAACTTCTGATAGCACTTACCCCCTACATCGGTCACACGCTATCAGAGAGACTATGTAAAACTAGAGGCCAGCCAGAGAATCTTATCCAGTGCCCAGTAGAAGCAAATCAAATAACAGAAAAGCATGCTGTTTCAGCTAAGTTACTTGCTAAACTGCCTCATCAAAATCTGACTCTTAATTTAGCACTGGTCAACGAGAGCATAGTGTCAGAAATCCTGCATGCAATCCATCTGATTCAAAGAAGTGGAACACGAACAAGCAGGTATGCTACTGATTTTCTGGAAGGTCTCGTTGGCATCTTAGTGAGATTCACAACTACATTGTACGAGCCCCAAATGATGTACCTAGCCAGAAACCACGATTTGACATCAGTGTTTGTTGATTTATTGATGAAAACATCAAGCGACGAAGTTCAAAGGTTATCAGCGACTGGACTAGAAAATCTATCATCTACAACTATGACTTTATCGAGGCCACCTCAACCTAGGAGCACGAAATTCATGGGATCACTGAGTATGCCTAGGTCTTTCTCCCTCCGTTCATCCAAAAAGAAGCAAATAGAAACCTGTGCAATCCACAGAGGGGTATGTTCTGCAAAAAACACATTTTGCTTGGTTGAAGCAAATGCAATCACAAAGCTTCTAGCATGTTTGCAGAGTGATAAAGTGGAGGTAGTGGAGTCAGCATTAGCTGCTATATGCACGCTATTAGATGACAAGGTCGATGTGGAAAAGAGTTTAAGCATGCTGAGTGAAATGAATGCAGTACAACTAATTCTAAATGCAGTCAAAGAACACAAGAAAGAGTCTCTATTGCAGAAAGCATTTTGGATGATTGACAAGTTCATTATTAGAGGAGGAGATAAGTATGCCAGTGAGATATCACAAGATAGGATGCTGTCAGGTATGTTGGTTAGTGCCTTCCATCGTGGAGATGGTAACACAAGGCAGATGGCAGAAAATATTTTGAGGCGTTTGGACAAGATGCCAAGTTTCTCTACTTATATCACATAAAAAACTAACATGTCAAAAATTTTAACTGTTATGAACTATTGCTCTCTCTCTCTGCTCACTGTGTATAAAGTATTCAGTTTGAAATGTGATTTTATTACGTTGTGGTCACAAAAGAAATAGTAGTTCACATTCTCCTGACAACTTTGATCATTACAACGTGATAACTTTGTTTATGGATCCACACGCCTTTATAGTACACCGATTTCCAGTTAGTGTATTGAAAGAACAGAAACTAAACCACCAATCTTCAACTTTATGATATATAAAATCACGAATCCAGTTAGCCTTACCATTCATGTTCTCCAGCTTTGTCCATGGTGCAGTCAAATTATATGAACAATTCACCCAATTGGAGTCCAATGCAACTATTCAGGCTCCGAATCCTATTACAAAGATTGGCAGCACAAAAATAAAATTAGAAGACTAGCATCAGAAAATGAGAAAATATTGGAAGCAAAGAGAAATAAGTCTTACTTGAATCTACCCGGCTCTGTTTTGATTTTTCAGACTAGTGATGGAGATTCATCATGCTTTGCTCTATGTTCAGAAAATTCCAAGATAAAACCTACCAGAAATCTCCGCATGAGCAAGTTCCATCTTTAAAACGGTGAAACCTAACAGCATCTCTGACAAGTATCTCTCTACCAGTGACGCTTGAGATATGTTTAGTGGCATTGTGGCAATCCACACACACTCGAAGATTTTTTCCTACTCTAATAGGTAGGCCTGAGGGTACAAATATCAACCCAAAAGCAATCGCAAGCCTTTCACTGTGACAGTTAAGCATCTTTATTTTAACAGCTTCCTCGACATCATGGTGGACAAAACTGGTATCTGGCTTATAACCATTATCTATGATTTTTTGGTTCAATTCCTCGAGCTTAGCATATATCTGATCTAAATATGGACTCGACTCGTCATCAGCTGAGAAACTGTGCAATTTTCCTTTCCATTTGATCCAACTCTGTCCGGGTTCTTTTCTCACGTTCTTCTCTTTCATTCCCCGCCTTAACTGGGCCACACAATCCCATTTCCCTTTTGAAGCATATATGCTTGATAATAGGGTATAGCCAGCAGGATGGTGAGGATCTAATTCTATGAGTGATTCAGCCGCCCATTTACCTATTTCCAAGTTACCTTTATTTCTACATGCGCTGAGTAAAGTAGTCCAACCAATTGCATCTGGAGGAAACGGCATCCCATTTATGAAACCCATGGCTTCCTCTAACCTTCCAGATCTACTAAACAGATCGATCATGCAAGAATAATGGCCATTACTCGGCACTATTCCATATTCATTTATCATTAACTCAAAATATCTTTGTCCTTTCTCCACTAACCCTGCCCTGCTGCAAGCAGAAATAACACCGGTCAAAGTCACTCCATCAGGTTTTAGTCCAAGTTGAACCATTTTGTCAAACAACTGAATAGCCTCGACGGCCCTTCCAAATTGGGCATACGCAGAAACCATTGCAGTCCAAGAGACTTCATCCCTGACATTCATCTCGTTGAACAGCCTAGTAGAATCATCAATATCACCACATTTTCCATACAGAGTCACCAATGAATTCGAAACAGTGACGTAATGTATTAGGCCAGCAGTTATAGCTTTTCCATGAAACTGGGAGCCCTCTTCTAAGCTACTTATGTTGGCACACGCACTGATCGCTTGTCCTAGAGTATAATGATCTGGGTCAATTCCACTTCTTTGCATATCAAGGAAAACTTTAACAGCCTCTTCAGCACGCCCGGTCTGGCCATAACCCACAACCATTGCTGTCCAAGACACAACATTCTTCTGCTTCATTCTATCAAAAACAGTCTTTGCATAATGTAAACACTTACACTTGCAATACATGTCAATGAGAGCACTGCCTACATAAATGTGATCCTGAAGATTGGTCCTGATTATACAAGCATGAATCTGTTTCCCTTCGTTTATTGCTTCTAATCCTCCACAAGCAGGTAGTACACTTCCAAAAGGATATTGATCCATCTTCAAACCTTCTATTTTCATCTGTCTGAAACATTCAATAGCCTCCTTTTCCAATCCATTTTGAGCAAGTCCTTTAATCATCGCTGACCAAGAAACTGAATCTTTCTCCATTCCTCGAAATAACTGCAGTGCATCATCGATCATTCCACATGCTAGAAGTCCACCCATCAGCGTATTGTACATAACCGTATTTCTATCGTCTAACCCGTAAAAAACCTTCTTTGCATCAGAGATAAAACCAACTTTTGAATACATATCCAACAATGGACTCCCAACTAAAAGATAAGACTCAAACCCAAGTTTGATAACCTGCCCATGAATCTGCTTCCCCAAACTAACATGCCCATTACTCGAAGATAGTTTCAGCATTGTCATCAACGTAACCCTAGTCAAATTAGCAGAAAAATCTTTCATCATCGTATTATAAGCCTTGACGGCTGCACCAACCAATCCACTCAAGGAATAGCCTTCAATAAGCACGTTCCAAGTGACACCATCACGATCAGGAAGCTTCTCAAAGGTACGTTCCATCTCTGAGAGAAGCCCAGATTTTGAATAAGCCAAAAGAAGATTGTTCCAGGAGAAAAGGTTTGGTTGGGGAATTCCATCGAACACTCGGCGTGCATAAAGGGAGCTTCTGATTAAAGCATACGCGTGGACGATGTTGTTATGCAAAAACGTCTCTGGATGAGGAAGAGTTCTGATAATATTCCCATGGATCATCTTCACATGGCGACTCGCTCCCAACCCAATGCATTGCTTTATCTGAGCAGAGTAGTAGTTCGACGCCATAGTCATCTTTTTCTTTTTTTTGGGTATATAATAGAATATAGTCAAATCTGATGGAACTAAACCAACCGGTTTAGTTGAATAAACCAGAGAGATCCGTTTGACTTTTGTGTCAAAATAGTTAACCCAACTCAACTCTAACTCATTATCCAATAAACTCATTTCATTTGATGGATTAGATGGTTAAATAGGTTGATCCATTAACCCATTAATGTAATAAATAAATTAATAATTAAAATATTATAATAATACTATACTAATAATAATTATTATTATCAACATCACTATTTTCAAAACGAGTTATATTTTTCATATAGCCGTACCATGCATTTTCCGTCGTCACAACGAATCCACAGTACAAAAGTATTGAGATAGCAGAACAAACTAAAAATGTCATGACTTAGACTACTTACAATGGTAACTTTTTCAGCTGTTGAAAAATTATTTCAACTGTTGAACACTTTGCAATGGTTTGTTGAAAATAAGAAAAAGATGATGTGGCAAAATTGGTGTTGAAAGTTATCAACGCCGTTGAAAATTTGTGGGTGGGCTCTTCTCTAATATGTGTCAAATTTTGATTGGACAAAAGAAAATAAACAAAAATTGATAAATGATTGGGACACTTGGACTGCATTGATTGGTCGCTTACATTCTTGATTTTTTTTTCAACTCAATTATTTAACATCAATTATTTCATCATAATTATAATTTTATATATATAATTTTTATATCAAAATTCATCATTTTCCATACTCTATTAATAGAGACTAGTTTCATTTATTTTGGACACATAAAAAAAATCTGTCTTTTTTTACTATACCTTTTTAGTTATTTTACAAAATTATTTAATTCCTAATTTTTATTTTTATTTTAATTGATAATTAATTTTTATTAATAATGGGTAACCATAGAAAATAAAAACATTAAAGAATTTAAAATATGAAATAAAAATTGTAAGGTAAAGTGTTGTAATTTTATTAAACAAAACCATTGTAGAAACTAAAAATTAATGGGGTGTTGAATTATGATGTGGAAGATAGAGATGATGATATGGAGTGTTAAAAAGTGAAAAATGGGTGTTGTAACATTTTAACCATTGTACATAGTCTTATACAAAACTATTTTGCAATGTTGGTGTTCACAATTTATACTCTCTTCCACTAATCTCAAACGCTTAGTAGTAGTAGTCGTAGTATCGTATTTTCGTTAATATAGTAACATCATTATAATATAGTACATATAGTAACTTTTAAAAAGAAAAAAAAAAAGATTACAATAATTTAATATTCTATCTAACAAGAAGAAATATCATGGCTCAACCTTCATATTTGCAGCTGGGAGAGATGCTGTAATAAGAAAAAATTACAGAGAAGGTTTACCAAAAAAATTACTATTATCATTTGGTGAAAAAAAGGTAATACAGGTTTCAGTTTTCACCTGTAGCTGCTGCTTGAGGGTCAGGTGTGACATCACCAGCTCCATAGTTAATGTGGATCACATTTTGCAAATCACCCTCCCATCCATTTGTTTCCTATTTTACAAAGTTAATCACCAACAAAATCAGATTATGAGCTCGGATTGTTCACTTTACAGACCGCTAAATCGCTAATACATACCTGTCGCTTGAATCCACCATTCATAGAAGACAATGGAGAGCTAATGGTCCTTCCGATGCTGGAAAGGGTTTGTTGCATGAATCCATGTGGTAGAGGAGGATAAGCCATTGACATATTTGGGGGGAATGGTGTTGTAGATGAAGAACCAGCTCGTAGTTGAAGTGCCTGCGCATATAATTCAGTTTACTAGAACCTTAGGATGAGGAGAATTAGTTAAAAGACTTGCAAAAATAGCTTACATCTTTTGCAAGAAGACCTTCAAGGTTAAAGTCCATTTGTGGGTTCACAGTTGCAAGCTTCATCGATAAAAACTGTTTAAGCAAAAAACAGAAGAATATGAGAAAAAAAAAATTGATTACAAGAAGAAAACACAAAGAGCACTTCGTTGAGAATTAGGAAATGTCGTACCTCAACTTGGCGTTGTAATGATTGTACGTAGTTTATGATTTCGTCAAGCATAACTGCCTTCCCAGTCACCTGCAAACACACAATTCATTTTTCTGCATTAGCTTTGTCTCTGTTCTTACATATTAATATCCATCACTATCAACAAAGACCTTACCTTGTTGCAACCCGGTACAAGATCTTGAAGAAACTTCATCCTTTCACTAATTTTTTCTCTCCTAACCTATAATCACAAAGTAATTAGATGAAGAAAAAAAGAAGAGATAGCTTCTATTCAACTTCAACTTCCAAGATAGTTTTAGAAATTGTACCCTTTCTGCAAGACTATGGCTATTTGTAGCCTGGCCTCTTCGTGCCCGCACATGAATATATCCATCTTTTGGAGGATCAGAACTTTGTTTGCCCTGTTGTTTCCCACTGTTTGTCTTGTTTCCAGGTGAATTTGGACTTTGCTCACTATTCAGCTTTTTATCACCATTGTTGTCTGGTTCTTCCTCAGATTGCTGAGATCTGTGTGATTGAGCTGCTTCAGAATTCTACAAACAGAAAAGATTACGAATGTTAAAAAGAAACATAAAATGGCCGAGAGAACAAATATAAAAGAGTAACTTCAAATCTTCACCTGCCCATTTCTTTTCCTCTTCTTTGTGTTGGAAGAAGTTTCTCTGCCTTTCCGACCGTTACCACCACTAGACTGAGTATCCTCAGATATATTGCCCGATCCAGGAACATTCGGTTTAGCTTGTTCACTAGATCTAACAGTTGGGTCTTTCACTTCTGTAGATACATCATTGTGAGGTTCACAAACATTAAGTTCATTACTTTGACACTGCCCTTGCATTGTTCCACCACCTTGAAGAAACAAACCAATCGACTCAGGATTCCCAAGTGGTTGATTCACCATATCACTAAAATTCCCACCGCTAAAAAGCGAAAACCTCGCAGCACGCTCTATAAACCCTGAATCAGCCGGGAACTGAGCCATACTCGGAGGAAGGAAGCTATTCGCATTCGGCAAGAAAAGACCATTGCCTTTAGGAGGCAACAAATTAGGCAGATTCCAACCCATTTCAAGAGATCTATCAATATTACCCCTAAACGAAGAAGACGAAGCATTACCACCATTGTTCTGGACATTAAAACCGCCATAACCCACAGCCTGAACACTAGTGGGATCATACCAAAGAGTTTGCCCAAATGAATCCATAATCTGAGATGGAGAACAAGACGCAGGACCAGCTGATATCAGATTCTCTGAAGGATATGAATCAATCGGGTTAGAACCCGAAACTCGCCAATCACCAGACGGATTACTAACCAAATCATAGCTATCAGGATTCCTCTTCTCTGCTGAAAACTCATCTTTCTCACTTAAATCCATCTTCTTCTAAAACTCGATGAACACCACTAATCAAAAAACCTCCAAGATCAAAACCACTACAAACCAACCACCACACAAACACATTCAACTTCGTTTTTAGTGACACAATCCAACTTGAAGAACAATGATTCAATGAAGAACAAGAGAAACCCAAATCAATAAATTCAGAAAAGAAGCTGAATCAGTCAACGGAAGACAAAAAGGATGATGATTTATCCGTACAAACTCCAAAAACCCTAAGCCAGATTTAAGCTAATAATCGAGCTAAAAGAGTCAGAAGAAAGATACCAATTTTACAGAATCTGTGCCACCACTTTCTGAACAAATTTTGAATCTTTTTCCTCAATTTCTAACAACAAAAGCTGAATTGAAACTGGGTCCTTTGGGTCAGATAATAAAAACCCTTTTTTCTGTTCTTCAGCTGCAGAGAGAGAGAAAAAAAAGATAAGCAAACGAGTGGCTTTTTCTAGAAATGGAGAAGAAAAAAAAAAGGAAGTGAAGAAGAAGAAAGGAGAAGAAAAAAAAATCGGAAAAGGTTCTGGATTTATACCCACGCTTGCATAAAAAACAGAGCTTTTTGATCATTAAACATAAACACCGCCATAGCCAAAGTATTCAAGCATTATACTATTTGCAGCGGATTTTTTTTTTAAGCTAAAGGTTTAGTTTCAAAGATTGGTTAAAATTGATTTGATTAGTTAAATCTGTATGGTTTAATTTAAACACGTAGTTATTCCAATTATTACAATCAGCTGACAGTGACAACTTTCATTTTGGGGTTATTTTATTCTATTATTTTATTTTATTTTTTTGTTATTAAAATCCTCGAAAAACAGGCTTTCATGATTTCTTTTTCTTGTTTTTATAATTAATGAATTAGGTTTGTCTGGTAAAATATTCTTTAAAATCCATCTAGCTTAAGCTTACTTTATAACATTGTTAATTTTTTTACTACAAATATCGAAATAATTTTACAGAAATATATTAGTGTAAAGACTATTGTTATGAGCTTACTTTTAGAAAGTCAGTCTTTTTATTTTTTTGGTCAACACTTATTTTTAGTCAGTCATGTCTTACATGTGCATACTTTTATGATTTTATCAGCTAGTTTCAATGTTGAATAAGTTCAAGTTTCCATATTCAAATGTTTTTTTTTTCATATACTATAAGAGGGTTAATCTTTCTATTGCCCAGTGTTTATATATGGTAGAATAATGCTTGCGAATAATCATAACAATTATTGGTTTCATGTTCAATGTTTTGGATTTTGTACCGAATCATAGGTAAATTCTTAAACAAGCATTTTTATTTTCATGCACGGTTTGTTGGAGATTTATTATATTTTTTTAAAAAAGTTATTTTTGTGTCTTTTGACCGCTTGCTTTCGCTCAAGAATATTTTTGCAGCTCAAGTCTAGTTGTAAACAGTACTGCTAAGACTTACTAAAATATTCATAGCAATTACAATAATGTTAAGATTTTAAAATAATATTTCATTGTTGAACATATAATTAGATCTTTTACTGTATCTTGGAATAGTTTAGTTTACTTAGATATTCAAGTTGTTACATTCTGTCAGTTTAGGCAACTTGAGAGTTGAGAAACTTTATTCAAATAAAAATTATTCGTACATCTTGGTTAGTCAAATAATCTACGAGATCTTCGTGGTTGATAGAGGTCTTAGACTACAATTATTTTGTTAGCGAGAAAAAAGATTACAATTATTTCTTAGGCTTTTCAAAAAATCTAGAATTAATTACGGATTTTGCCCTTTTTCATAGTGGCATTTGTGGATTTTGCCTTTTTTTGAATAGTTTGTGGATTTTGCCTTTTTTTAGGTTCCAAAAATATGATTTAACATGCGTTTCACTCGTTTTGTTTGGGTTTAGTCGGTTCCATTTGTTCTTAGGGTTTAGTATTTGGTATAAGGTACGTATTTTTGAAAAAAAAAATCGCAAAAAACGTACATTTTTAAATGTTAAAAAGGGCAAAATCCGTAAACTATTCAAAAAAATGGCATTTTCGTAAGTTTTTCCCAAAAAATGGCATTTTAGACAATAATCCCAAAAATCTATCCTTCTATAGTTCTATTATTGACATTGGACAACGCAGTGGAATTCTCCACTTATCATTTTATATATATCTTAAAAATAATTGACTAGTCGTAATCATATTTAAACTATTACTCCATTAAACCGGTGCCAATTCTGGTTCGACTCCTTTTGTACTAAAGTTTTGTCGAAGATGTGCTAGAGTAAAACAAGTCCATAAATGTCTAGTTTACTTAAGCAAAAGGAAAAAAAATCTAGTCTTCCGAAAAAACAAGTATGCAATGAATTCAATTTCTGAAAACTCAATCATAAGTTCTAATCTGTAAGATATATGACATGACCAATCTCCAATCATTTAGTCGCTTAAAACAATCTTAAAGTCTGTTCAAAATGGTTACACGAATCACATTAGTCAAATTATTATCTGATATTGGAACTTTCACAACTCCATGCTGATGATATAATTTGGGACATCACATCTATACATATGATATATTAATTGTTGTTGATTTTATAATGTAAAAAAAAGGTTCATAGTTTTATTTTATTTTTTGCTTTTGCATTAAGAAAAATGTTCAATAATCATAGACATATATGAGGAATTTAGAAGTACTATACTAAAAATTTGAGAAAAACACGTTATCTTTTGTTACAACCACTACGATTTACGTTGTAAGAAAAAAAATTCTTCGACCGTCATACAAATACAATAAAGAGGCTTAATCATTTGAGCCTACCAATTCTATTTTTACATATTCCAACACTCCTTCGTATGATACCAATGAAGTGATGACGATTTCATTCAGTGCATTATATACGACTGCTAATCTCTTAGCTTGTGGTGAAGTCAAAGATCAAAGCACACGCAAGATCTTGTCCCAAGTGCTAAGAAAATGCATTGTTATTTTTTCTTAGAATTACTTCATTAATTAGGTTCTAGTAATTGTATTAGTGTGAATATTGAAATATGAAATAAATTATCGATCGATGGCCAAAATTACTTAAATTTAGTTATAAAAATTAAAAACTTGATGTATTTTATTAACTAGGTAAATGATTACTAACGCTAATTGTTTACTCCTACCACAAATTAGTTTATTAATTATGGGTCATGAACAAGTGTAAACGTATTAAGTAGTGAAAAAATTATTAGAATAAAATAAAGGAAGAGTAGATGGACGGTCCGGTTAGCGCAAAGATCGAGGTCATTATTAGTTGGCCTTGGGACTTGCAATTTCCAAAGACCTAACAAAATTAAACCTTATAATAATTGAATTCTCCAGCCCACACCTTCACTTTATCTCCTCTTTTTCTATTTTTTAATCCCTAATAATTAACCATAGTTTAACTTTTGTTTTATCAATTAACCTTACCCAAACAGTTACGTTTTGAATCATAGTTTAAGCTTAGAGCATCAGCAAAAGCATAACCGAAGGGATATATGTTAAGACGATTTTATAATTAAAAAAAGCTAAGAGTTTGTGTTTAGAAATAAAGTTAATAGACTTGATTATTGGTAGAGGCGCCTACTTTTATGAGATCCTCTCCGTCAAAAATTCCTAACCAACAATATCCTCCCACATGGCTCTCACACCCGGGTGTGGGATAACACTCGACTTACGTCTCTAAACTAACTATTCCCTTATTTTCTTATATTTTATTACTTACATCCAACGAGAAATTACCCCACAGTGGGTGGTCTAATTAAATGTCAATATTGTTTATCTCCACTATGTACCTAGTCATTTTTTTTACACATAAGATCCATATAAGAGAGCTCGAAATTATTTTAGTTGATTTTACTAACTAAACCATGCACCCTTCATCACCACATGTGTGTAATACTCTTTCCATTTCAACTTAGTTAAATAAGTATTATTTTGGACTTTTAGGCATATGAAATATATAATATCAAAAATTATTTTTGACGACAAGAAAATTGTACTCCTAATATATTTTATATTTAACGAAGATTAAATCCAAAGAATATGACAAACTTTATATCAAATATATTGTCAGTGATATTATCAAATTGTAGAACGCTTGGAATAAAAAAAAAAATTAAGCTGTAGAACGATTTTTGTTATATATACAACCAAGTTTGTTTTAACTATGCTCTAAATGGTATCAAGTTATCAATTAGGGATAAATACATTTATTCTAGCAACATAACTTTGACACGTCCTAATAATTATGTAGGTATGTAGGGTTTGAATTAGTGTTGTGGAGGGAGCGAACTAAACTATTAACAGATTAGATTGTTTTTATTTTTGGGACAGACAATAACAATTTGTAATTGGTCTGTGACAGATTTCTTCTATTTTTTCGGTACACATTATTACGTACTACTCCCTCCGTTTCGTTTTAGTTGTCGTTTAAGGTTTTTGCACACAAATTAAGAAAATCATTAAATTTTTTGTTTTATCCTTTATTAATATATTTTATAATTTTTTCATTGGTCAAAACATTAAAACATTAATGACAAAACATTAATTTTCACCAAACATTTGCATTGAAAACCTAAAACGACAACTATTATGAAACAAAATTTTAATCCTAAAACGACAACTAAACTGAAACGGAGGGAGTATAATTTATTAATGGTAAATAAAAAACAGTTTAATTAACAAACTGATTTGTCCTTCCCAACTACCGCAAACATTCAAATCCGTAATCATGCATAGATTCCTTAACTCGAATGTCTTAACATACACTATAACAAGGCCTGAACGACGTAACTAATGGTAAGTGAGACGATCTTTTTGTCCATACATATACAAAACAAACAATCTTATGATATATTCAATAAATGTTGTTCACATCAAGGTGATTTCTATACGTTCGTGATTCCATACATAGTTACGGCCACTTATGAGCCCAATCATAATCACCCTCGTTTCATCCAAGTGATCTTTCTGTCATATTCTTAACATTTCACCATAATAACTGCCTATAAAGACGATCATTCCCATTTCACCACCATACACAACTAAACCATCATAAACAAAGTAATCACATCATGTAAACTATCAATTTAACACCGTTGGTCTCAAGTCTCAACCATATGTTGACAGCGAACAATTTATCTCAATTACAGTTATACATTAATTCGTCATGTTTAGTCACCGTCACAAAATTGAATTAGAGTAGATACTGTCATAAATTCAATATTATCAGTATACGTACATGATATTCTGTAATAAATTCTACTAACTTTGAGAATTAAATTGTATATTAACAGATAAAAGAATATTTCAAATTTTGAATTTATAAATACAAAATATCAGTATTGATAAACAAATCATAATCTAATGTGAGTGTATAATGTTATTATCTACATGTTAAAGACAAATCACAAAAAATTATGGTAAATCAAATTGTTTTTTTTTTTAAATTTTGAAATATTACATTAATTGTCTAACTATATTATCTAAAGGTTACAGTTATATTTAGGCCTTTTCAGCTGTAACCAATAAGAGCAGCTTAAGCAGTCGTTCTTCTTCCTTACCAAATAATTCAACGTCCACCACAACATAGCACTCCCGCTAACGTAAGCTAAAACACTAACATGCGCGGCTCTTTCTTTATCGTTGGCTGACCTGTAAACAACCTCCGCGCATTTTAGCATCATTTTCCTGACGCCAGAAAACACGTTACTCTTGAAAAGCAAAATTGAAGTTCGTTGACGGAGTAAAGGCTCTCTCTGTTTATTCATCTACCCGAATTACAGATTTTCATCGGTAAAGTTTTGATCTTTCTAGATCCTGTTTGAATCTTGAACTCTCTGTTTTCTCTGTTTCTAATTGTTTTTTCTTGTTGAATTTTGATCTTTTTGTTCTGCTTTTATGGTAAAGTTTGAATCTTGTTGTAGCAAAATTGCCAAATTAGTTGGATCTCTTTGAAATGCTAAGTCTTTAGAAGTATGTAACACTAACTGACTTGGCTTCTTGACAAGTGGATTCTTCTCAAATTGACTTCTCTTTGCATAGGTTTTGTGACAAAGTATGGATTTTGATTTGGTTGGCACTTACTATAATGTGTTTCTGGGAAGGACGTTTTCAATTATTTGCTTGGATGTTCTGGTTTTAGTTGATGAATGATTGGTTTCATATAGAAGAATTGAGCTATGGCTAGTGTTAGGATTGGAACTCGAGGCCATTGTAGTGAGAGAGAGAAGAAAAGTGTTTATATTTTCTAGGCAAGAGAATGTGTTAATTGAGAACTAGTATATTGGGAGATGAGCATTGTCTCCTTTTTTTAAGTAGGCGATATTGCGATAACTCCATTCGAAAGATAGTGCCTTGACCTAAGTAACCATTTTCCTAAAAAAATTTCATAGTCACAAGCTTACAATGTAATCATTTTGATTTTTTCCATTTTTTCTTGTTTTTTTAGCTAAGCTTTGAAATTTTGATTTGCAGGCCAAGAAATGGAGGAAATCATTAGGGAGGATCATGGTGAAGCTTTGTCTAGTAGGAGTGAGGAGGAGCAAGAGATGTTGAGGATGTTGACAAAACTAGAGATAGACTCAGCTTATACTAGTGAAAAGCTGCTGAACCTGCATGTTCTTCTTATGCATCTTTTGGCATGGGATAATGATCTTGAAGGGATGGGGACACCTGATTCTTCTCCAGCATCCTTTGAAAAAGCTTTGGCGTTTGATCTGTTATGCGGTATATTGGAGTCGGAGTTAAAGGAGGTGGACGAGGTTTTGGATGTGTTGGAAGCCCAAATCGTTGACACTTCTTATAAGATATCTAGTTGCAAACATGCAAATTATATTGTTATCGAAGGCAAGTTGGGTGAATCTGCAGAATCCTTGAAGCAGTCTAGAGGACAAGTCTCAGAGATCACTTTGCAATTAGCTCAGCTCCGAAGAACACTTCATTACATAAGAAATGGAACAAGTAATCACTTTTGATATATGGTCATTAAAAAAAATTTGTGCTTTGGTTTTCTTAGCTTTTCGTTGTTATTGACAAACATGTTGGCAGGTGAAAACGAGGAGTCAGTGGAGTTTTCAGGAAACGGTCAAGATTTAAGGCAGAAATATGCGCTGAAACCATCGGACTTAAGGCATAAAAATGCTCTGAGGATGCTGGAGAAGTCATTGTCAAGAGAGCTAGAGCTTGAGAAGAAGTTAATGGAGTTCCAGCAAAATGAAGAACAACTGAAACTCAAGCTACACTACACTGAGGAGGTATCTTCTCGGATGGAAGAAGCATCAGAGTTTATATGGGGACGGTTTCTAGAGGCAGATAATTCTTCAGAGGTTCTTACGGGTATTTCAAAGGAACTTGTTGGCCGTCTACAGATTCTCCAGTTTAGTCTGAATGGGTCAGCCCAACGGGAATCCGAACTTAAGTCTAAGCTTGAAGATTGCACTGTACAACTCGAAGCGAAAGATCTTCTGGTGCAAAAGCTTGAGGGAACAATTTCAGAAAATAGTGAGATAGTTTCAGAAGTACTCACTTTGAGGGAATATGCGAAGTCAGCTGAACAAAAACTGAAAAATACCGAGCTTGAGCTGAAAAGTGTCAACACCTCCAAACAAGAAATCCTGGTACATCTAGCTGAAATGGAAAATGCAAATGACTCGGTCAAAGAAAACCTTTTCGAGGCTGAAAGCAGAGCTGAGACTGGAGAAGCTAAGATTAAAGAGCTAAATGCTGCAAATCTTGAACTTACTGAGGAACTAAATTTTCTCAAAGATGCTGATGATAAAAAGACAAAGAAGGTGAACTCTCTCGAGAAGCAAGTCAGAGAATTAGAAGTTCAAGTACAAAACTCCAAGGTATCATCAGAAGCAAGTCAAGAACAGCAGAACATGTTGTATTCAGCTATATGGGACATGGAGACCTTAATAGAAGATCTCAAGTCTAAAGCCTCAAAAGCTGAGAGTAGAACGGAGACAGTGGAGGATCAATGCATTGTGCTTTCTACCACAAACTCTGAACTCAACAAAGACGTGACCTTTTTGAGGCAAAAAGCCAAATCCTTAGAAGCATTGTTGGAACTAGCTAACGATGAGAAAGAGAGATATGCACAAGAAATAACTACACGGAACAAGGTTTTGATGGATATGATGTTGCAATTATCCAGTGAAAGGGAGCGTATACAAGAGCAGGTACTTTTGGCTATGTGCATAATTGTTTTCTCTAGGGACTCAAGAGCATAGCATTGTTGACGCATTAATGTTTTTTCTTTCTCCAGCTATATTCTTTGGCAAAGGAAAACAAAATACTTAGAGGGAATCAATGCTCAAATACATACCAAAGAAATGGATCTTATGCTGGGGACAAAGAGCTGCAGTTACACACAGACGGTCACGGAATAGAGGCACTGGCTGAAAGTCTGCAGGCAGGTATTCAGTTTATTTTCCCATATCCCTAGTTATTTCCTGTGTATTAGGTAAATCATTGCAGGAATATAGCTTTGTTGCTTCAGAATAACGATAGATAAAGCAAAATATAGATGAGAGAACCTCTCTTGTTACTAATATTATGTGGTATTTGCCCTCTTTGAACAGGAGGATGAGAGAACAAGGAAAGAACCAGAGAACCAGTCTGTGTCTGAAAAGAGTAGCACGTGCACGGAGATCAGAAGGGCAAGCAACTTGAAACACATACCAGTTTTGGCCTTAGTTTTTGTGCTGTTATGTTCATTCTTTGGTGTGACTTATTAAGGAAATATATCTTCAGTGAAAATGTCTTGGCAGTAGCATTCGCCATTTGTACATTGTGTTGTAAATACTCATTTATCTTGTATTTATTACAAGCAATGTATATCTCAAGTGTTGGTTTATCTCATTGTGTTGTAAATACTCATATATCTCTACAAAAACAAAATATTTCAATTATTAAGTGATTTCCTAAAATGGAGTGATCTCACAAAGTTGGACAAAAACAAAGTGTAATAAAAAAAGAATCAGACTAAACTTGGTAAAACCTTCACACAAGATTTGTTGCCATTTAACTGCCTTCTATTATTCTATATAAGAGGAAAATCTGAATTCTCTCTTCATCACTTGTACAATAAAAAAAAAAGAAACAAGAAAAGATTTTGAGGTTACAATTTGCAATGGAGAAAATGTCTCTCAAGCTCGTCTTCTTGTTCTCCCTCACAGTCATATCATTTTGTAATGCTTCCTTGTATGATAACTTCTTCTTTGTTATACAATTTTTGCTGCGGTTTTGTTTTGAAGTTTTGTTGTGTGTGTATTTGTGAAGGTTTTTCTTTGAGTGCCGCGAGAGAGATGGCGAAAGATGAAGTGAATTGTATCGGCGGTCATTGTCCTGATGGAAAGAAGAACTGTAACTGCTTGCTTCCTATTGCACCAACAATGGACATTTATGAGACCAATGCATCTTGCCTCGTAGATAACGAATGCATCAAGTACTGTCCTAAGAGCTGCAAGATTGTGAACTGTAATTTTGGAACCTGTTTGTGTGAGTACTGTTAAAGAGATTAGAAAGCATCATAACTTATAAGAAAGAGAGAGGAACAAGTGATATTCAAATACATATATAAAATTATTTAATTAATTAATTTATTATCCTCCTTGTAAAAAATATCTCTGCATCACTCTATACAACTGGAATTTTTGATACAATTAAGTTCTAAATGCCTGAAACAGGTTCCAAATTTGTTTTGAGAGCTTCTGATAAAGCTCTCTTTGCACACTCTTACTAAGAATTTTCTAAGAGCAAAGTTCACGCGAAGAGGGCTTGAATTAGACATGGTAGAGGATACATCAATATCTTTCTCACGGCAAGGCATTGTGGAAAACAATTTATCTATATTAGCTGTAGGGACATTGTTTTGTTTGTTTTGTTAGGTTCATCAAGCTACTTGAGACACATACAAGTTTTTGGCCCTAGTTTTTGTGCTGTTTCTTTCATTCTTTTGTTTAAGGAAATTTATATTCAATATTGAAAATGTCTTTGGATTCTCTTGTATTTATTTCCAAAATGTATGTTGTTTATTTCCCTCTACAAAATCAAAGTCAACAAATTATAAAATGATTTCCTAAAATGGAGAAATCTCACAAGTTAAATTAAAACGATGTGTAATCAAACTTGGTATATAAAAGAAGACAATCTGACTTCTCTCTTGTTAACTTGTACAATCAAAATAAACAAAAAAAGATTTTGAGATTACATTAAGCAATGGAGAAAACATCTCTCAAGCTTATCTTCTTGTTCTCCCTCACAGTCATAGCATTGTGTATGCCTTCTTCTATGATAACTTCTTATTTTTAGTTAATGTTTTGCTTTGGTCTTGTTTTGAAGTTTGTGGTTTGTATTTGTGATCAAGGCTCGTTTTTAGGTGATGCCAGAGAGATGGTGAAAGAAGAAGTGAATTGCATCGGCGGCAAATGTCCTGAAGGAAAGAAGAACTGTAAATGCTTGCCACCGATAGCACATATAATGGACAATCGGCCTTGCACTAAAGATAGTGACTGCAACAAGTACTGTCCTAGGGAATGCAAGCTTGGAACCTGTGTCTGTTCGTGTGATTTTGGTTGTACATGTACCTGTTATGCGTTAAAATAGTGAGATAGAGAGAGAGAGACTATCAATTAGTATTTATAAAATAGTGTTTGAATCAGTTTATTATTATTCTTGAAAACATATCTCTGAAGCTAGTATTTAATAATACAATTGGAATTTGAAACAATTGAGTACTAAAGGCCTGAAACAGGTAAATCTGTTTTACATTTCTTTTAGTGCTAACAAGAGCTTCTGAGAAAGCTCTGTCTCTGTAGATCTTTTGTGCACTCTTGTTAAGAATTTTCTAAGGGCGAGAATCATGTGAAGAGGGTTCTCGAGATGGACAGCGTGACCAGCCTCTGGGATTTCAACCATCTCGATGATATTGTTTACGCTATTCTTGCTTTTACTCATCTCGCGGTACATTCTAGTAGCGATTTGCTTGAATTTGACATCTTTCTCTCCGAATACGAGCGAGATATTTGTATCACAATCCCCAACTCTTCCCACAATGACCTAAATTTAAAGGGGACAACATCATCATAGTCATCAGACATTATCCCATTTGAATTAAATTCATAAAAAATATATAAATAGTTGCAAGCAACATCAACTTACGGTTGTCTCCCACTGCTTAGATCAGACAGGAGCTTTGCAACACTAGGAACATCATCATGTAGCAAGCGGCTTGCAGCTATTTTACTAAAATGGGGATGATTTCTCAAGCTAGTCATTGAGAAAATCGCTCATGTGAGTGATCAGTTTAAGTCCGGGGAACAAAAAAACGAAACTAACAAAAGTTGTATTGTACTAAGAAAGTCACCTCTTCCACAAGCCTCCATTGTACCAGTTCTCTAGAAAGATTTCGAGTCCATTGTCAACCATCATTCGTGCTTTGGAATCATCTGTTGCACTTCGAACTTTCCTTGCCACTGGATCCTTGAGTCCCGGGCTCCCTGATACCACGACAGCTCCTTCGATCTGTAGAACAGCATCCAAATTCCATTATACACATCATTAAAAAATGTTAAATTTCCAGATTAATGGAACCCACCTTGTTGCTAAACCTCAAAGCCATGTACAGGGCTATTCTTGCTCCCATGGAATATCCAACTATAGTTACTTTCCCAGGAGTAATTTGCTCAATCAACTTATACAATGCCTTCGCTATCATCTCCATTGAGAAAGTTGGGGCCGTCTGGGTCTCACTAGCATGACTTTGTACCCTTGACCTTCCGTGACCAGGAATATCGACTGAAATGCATCTCGCAGATCCCGAGATACCCTTCATGATGGGGATCCATTCTTCACCAGTTCCAAGAAATCCATGAAGAAACAAAGCTACACTTCCCTGAAAAATATATTACAGCAGAGTGAAAAACAAGAGAGAAATTGACCAAGAACAGCTTTATATCTTTTTAGCTTCGGAGATAAAAAATCACAAACAAGGACAAGCTTACTTCTGCATTCTGCCCAATGTCGTGGACTCTAATGAAATGAGAGAACCCATCTACATCCACCCTCAGTTCATACCTCCGGACAGGAATTCCTTTACTGGTTCTAACAATAACATCGTTGTTTATCTTAACATCCTTTAGATTTCTACTAGAATCAGCAACAAATCCTTCAACAAATCCACTATAAGGGCTACGAAATATCCCTAATGTATTCATCATTACGTCTTCACTAAGCCACCGATAAGTGCCAAGACCATGGGCTACAGAAGGGGATGTTCCTTGCTTCTGCTCTGTGGATGCTTTGACGTTTACCATCTCCAAATATGATGCAAATAAAATATATGCTGATAAACCTAGGCCACTTTCGTATGCAGCACTAATAACAGCCATTTTTCCATGCTTCTGTGCCCACCGAGCAATCAGGGCTGCATTCTCAAACCCTCCCACAACACTTGGTTTAATAACCTACAATTCCAAGTATGATAAAACAAAGTCAAGCCTATTTAATTTGAAAGCAAAAATGAAATAAGATAGAGCCGATAATTTAAAATGATAGCGCTGATATATTATGATTGTACCAACAAAAACTTAAAAACCCAAACAGGGGAGGCAAGATTAAATGATCATCAAAGAAATTAGCACACAAGAAAGAACATATGTTTTGACAGTGTCAGGCTCATGTAAATGAAGTAAAAAAGGACCAGGGGCTTACAACAGCAACTATTCCAGGATGGGTATATTTGGTAAGCATAAGTAGAGGACATTCCTCAAAATCATCAAGGGTCTCATCAAGTGCCACTGGTAATCCAGTTTCTTCATGAAACCTTATAAGGTCATCTTTATTCTGGACAGGTTCCTGAGATATACAAAAAGTTCGTCACTGAAGTTATATAGGCAACATAAATCAGTTATTTTGGAGTAATACTTCAGAACACAATCAGATTGCGATAATTCATACTGTACCAGACCTCAATATATTTTAAATTACAGCTTTTCACCAACAAACCAAACTCTGTAGCCTCTTCAAAAGTCCAACGACAATTTGCATCTGCACGGAGTTCAATTTGATCGCCAACGGCTCTCCTTACTTCTTGCATAACTAAAGCATCTTGAACAGAGTTCACTCGACGACCAACCTGTCATTTTAGGCAGGTTTGTCCCCCAGTCAGCAATCAATAGCTTGAAAATGCAAAGTGAGAAAGCCAACCACCTCAATTTATGCATAAAATGATAACACTCAGTCATAAATTTAATAGAGTTGAACGTTAAGAAATCCAACACTCAATCATAAAATAAAATAATAATCCAGCTATCTTACTTGATAATTGAGTGTAATCTTGTTTGTATGATTAAAAAACGTTGGCTTACTTTAAGTTTAATAGCACTGAACCCTTCTTCAACAAGTTTTCTAGCAACGTATGCGACCTCCAATGCGGTACCTTCAGAATCAAGAAGGGCACATATTTGAACAGAATGTGGCTGAGCAGAACCATTTTCGTCTTTCTGATAATGAAGTATCCCCAACAAACTAGAATCATGTCTTACTGCCATAGCATTTAGAAGAGCCATTTCCAGACCACATCTGACACTAGGGAAAATCGATGATGCCTAAGAAAAAAGAAGGAAATTGATAAGCCTTCAATTATGATTCCCAGGCAATTATTCATCTGTAGATAGTTTTCTATTTCTTTAACAAGAAGACTACGAAGATCCAGAATTTTTGCACCTAGCAAGATTGAAAAAAATGAAGAACTAGCAT